TAAAAAGTGTTAACTTGAATCAGTTTATAAGCGGAATGAAATTGTGCGATAAATGATCAGAATAATTATGGTCAACATGGGGTGAGAGAGAGAATAATGGAAAAAAATCGGAGATTACGTAATATGAATTAGGTTGGATATAGTTGATTTAGGGGTGGATATTGAATAAATTCCTCAAAAGGTTATCAAGTGTAAAGACAATGATAATGACAATCATAGTAGTAATAATAATAACTTGCTCCACAGGAGCAAGTTATATTGGCAGATGTCCTAGGAATCTGTACATTCGAGCTCGTGAGCACCTCCCCGTGTGGTTGAGCAAAGGTGTAGTCAAAACTGTTAACAGCTCCATCTTAGACTATCTAGTTCAAACAGGACATACAGCCAATATGGAGCAATCTTTTGCAATAATCTATCGTGATAACAGCAGTCTACCGGATTCCGTCAGACTGCGAATCCTACAGACGTCTGAAGCAATTGATAGTCGGATCAAAAAGCCAGAGCTTTGCATTAAAAAGAAGTATGTTCAGCCATTCCTTTTACCCTGGCCAACTAGTTAATAATTAATTTTATGATATGATGACGTAATCTGATTAATGTTCATTTTATGCCCTAAAATTATTATTATTATCTTTACACTCGATAACCTTTTGAGGAATTTATTCAATATCCACCCCTAAATCAACTATATCCAACCTAATTCATATTACGTAATCTCCGATTTTTTTCCATTATTCTCTCTCTCACCCCATGTTGACCATAATTATTCTGATCATTTATCGCACAATTTCATTCCGCTTATAAACTGATTCAAGTTAACACTTTTTATTAAACAGCCCCAACATTAACGATCTGAATTGATTTTATATAACAAACAACAATTCTCAATTCACATATTACGATTTCCAAATGATGTACTCTGCCGTAAATCTGACCAATCTTATGGATTATTGATTTGGATTTATAGTTGTAGAACCTGATGAAAAATTATTGAAAAGAATATTCTTCGTTCATACAATTGTTTTAATATAATGGGAAATGTAAAGGACACACAGTTATAAGGTGGATGCTTTCCAGGCTTGCCTGGCAAATTAGTGATTCTACAAAATGTATGTATGTGTCTTACATTTAGGCAAACAGAAATCTCATTCTTAGGTTGAGTGGGCATGTTCGAATTTCACTTAAGCATCTCGGTGTCGTCAACTTGAAAACCCTGTAGTGGTCACAATCAGTGTATTCGACTCCCTTGTTTCTTGTCAACATCAATTTAACAATTTGTGATTCGTGTAAATTAAATTATAAAATAGATTACTCTTTCTAGTATATGACCAGAACCTCAATATACTGTATGGTAAGAAATCTTAGTTTACATTTACGAGTGAATCTAAATGAACGAGATTACCCATAATACTACCTTAGTCATCACTAAACCACCTATCTTATGTGGTTTTGAACAGCTTTGTATGCAATAGTCACGTTTGTGCCCTAGTTTTAACTGACAGGCTTAGGTTGAAATAGATCATATTAAACTATAATTTGGTTTTGTAGTACAACGTCAGTAATCTGTTCAAGCTTAGTGCGGACAAAAGCCAGTAAGAAAACATGTCAAATACCTTGATCATCAGCATCCTAACGTTGATGATACTGTCAACAAAAAATGTAATGTTCAGCCTTTGGTAGGCTTAAGACTGACCTAAATGTGTTGTATGCAGAGTAGTGTGAGATTCTAGAAGAGATTCAGTAAGCGCACAAAGTGCACGTATTTTTGGAAATGGTATCTCTCCATGGTAATTAACGAAACAAGCGTAGAATCTAGTCAAGATTTCCCTCTTTATACAAGAGCTTGACAGCTAAATTAGCATACAATCAAAAGTATGGATGACAGTTAAAGTCCATCGTTTCATCACTTAAATTAATTTTGTTTGGTGCTGAACTTTTGTAGAAAAACTCCTTAGTTCTGAAGTAGTTTCCAACATGGTGTAGTTAGTGTTATTATGTGGAACCCTACTTAAGTCTTATAGCAAGTTCATTTCATCAAACTTTTACAAAAATAATGGAATAACTCAACGACTGGTAACAGACTGTAAAGTCATATGTGTTGTGGAATATTCAAACGAATTTGCTTCAAAACAATTTTACGATTTCCAGCAACAGTACACCTTTATGAACTTAACTGGTATACAATTTAAACAGATCAACGGAGCTATTTATTGATATTTTAGGTCATTGTAAGATGATAACTCTCCTGTGCTTTGTATATCAGAACCACAACTCTTCGTACTTGTTCTGAACAAATAATTCTTAAATCTTACTTAAAATAATGTGTATAAACCTAAATTCGATAAATAAATTTTATATCTTTGCTTATTAAAAGAGGCTTGGACAATTGCAATGGTTATTCAATATATGTCGAGTGTTCCACACTATATATATACATACCGAAGTGAATAAAAACAGTAATGATTAAAAATCTGACATCATATACTTTGTTGTATACCCGAACACTAAACGAGTGAGCTTATTTAGAAAAATAACATGTCAAACTTCATATGAAAATATAATTTTTCCTGTATGATGTTATGTGAACAAGTACTTATCAGTGACTCCCTATACAATTGTCCATACTTTTTTAAGTTATTTGAAGATGTTTTTTTCGCTCTTTTATTTTCCTTACATCTTGATGATAAGAGATTAATTTAACTTTTTTGACAACTCTCATTTATTGGTGATCGTATGCCGTTTGTTTTTCCTTTCCACATTTTATCTGCATAATTTTCATTTCCTTTTTAACTATTCACTTAATATAAAAAGATTTATGAAATGAAATATGATAACGTTGATAGTTTCTCTCAAGCGTTTTTTTTCTTTGTAAATAATTGGTGATGGGGTATATATGTTTTATCCAGTTGGAGAGAAACCACATAGACCTAACGGTATCTTATTACCTCAGCCATTGACGTTATGGCCTAGTCTAAGGTCGCGAGTATAACTTGATAGCAGTCTTCTGAATATTTTATGCTGAACGATTCACTGAAATATTTTAAGAAAATCTGGAGTACTAAGATGATTCATTCCAAGTAAAAAGTATATTTAACGCTTTGAAAGTATTCCCATTTTAAATTTACGTGTATAATAAATTTATGACAGAACGAAACTAGGGAAATCAGTCTCCAGAACTATGTAGAAAACGATGCTTCTTATTAAATTTAGATAGTTAACTATTCGTACCAAAAATATAAAAGAAATACAAGATAGGTTATTTAAACAAACTGGTAAGGGATTTTAGTCAACTTACTGCACCAAAAAACGTAAGGGATTAAACTGAATCCATTTGATTGTTTGGGAATAAACTTGCCTGTCTGGCCGACCTCCGAAGGAACATAAGTGTTTGAATTGGCACAACACAATCCAAAGCAGTATTAAGTTAGAATAGCAGTTACTCAACTATTGGCGCTAACAAAGTCCAAAAACCGACTTAAACATCGATAGAATTTCTCAATGATGTTATGTCCGGATTTCATGAAAAACAACCACGAATTCATGCGACCTAAGACACTCAAAGTAGTCACACTATTTACATTGTTGTTATTTTTATACTAGGAATTATATGTGGTTACTTAAATGTCATAGAAAAACAAGATATCATAAATTTATGACGCCCAGAAGTACTTGTATTTATAGTACAAAGGTTCAGTATACAATGTTTTCTTTCGAGTGAAAGACGTGGGTCAATGATTCCGAATTATTAGTTTGCAAAATGAACTTAAAAGGGGCCAGACATCTTTTATTACATACAGTATGTGGTACAAAGAACAGCGAATACTAAGAATGAAATAAATAAACAATTTCCAATGTCACTTAGTTATGAACATTACAGATGGCCATTGGAAAATGAAGCAATATAGAAACCTTCTATTTTAAAACTACTGGTTTACTAGGACGCCTCATTCCACATTGTTAGGCTACTTATTTCGAATATCTTCTGATATATATTTTTCAGTTACTTAATCTGCTAGAAGCATTTAATAGGATCTAAATCGGAATGTTATCAAGGAGCTGAAATGTAATTACGATTGGGCACTTAGTTTAAGACTTCTAAACAATTTAATCAAGTAATGTCTGACCAAATATATGATAATGACTCAAAGGTACAAACCAGTGTAGGGACTTTATCGTCGAATTCATGACAGGTACTAGCAATGTTACGAGAGTAAACATGTTTGATGTACATGAAAGCCCATTTAATTAGCGAAAGCCATATCCAATGATTATAAACGAGAATGGTGAAACTTATTGTTAGAAGCAAAACACTAAAATTTATGTTGAATTTCACAAGCTTTCTTATTTGCAATCATAGTTGTGAACGCTTACAAAGTTGATATAACATCTAAAATAACATTTTTCGTTATTGTTCTGAATTCTTTATTATTATTATTATTATTATTATTATTATTATTATTATTATTATTATTATTATTATTATTATTATCAAAAAACGACTAAAAATCTACCCCTAGTTAATTGGGAACGCACCTGTACATTAAAAAGTGCTTTTCCCACAACGTTAAGCCATAGCTTTGGATTTTCTACGAATCTTTTAATTAAAACCTCATTAATTGACTTTGACTGGTACTAATACTGCTACTGCTTACTCAGTAGCTCCATTAAAACATTTCATCCACTTAAGATTTTTAATCATGAAGAAGTTTTGCAAACATGTACTAAAATAGATGGCACTTAGCTCTATATAGGTATTGAAATATCTTGTTAGTGGCATTCACATCATCCACAGTAATCAGATGAATCACCGTTTTTAGAATCACTACTACATGTCAACACATTCATAGGGTATAGGTACTTTTTAGATTGTTAAAGTAAATGTGAATGGTTGGCAAAATGGCATATACTGGAAGTAATTAGATGTATGTGAATATTCCCGATGAAGAGCCAAGCACTATAACCTTAAATGAATCCAACCAACTATAGAGCTCAAATCATACTGGTATCGTATACAAAAATAATACTTTGAATGTGAGCTCAATAATTACTTATGTAGCATTTTGTTAAAGGAAATATCTTATTGACTTTATCAAAAAAACTTATTAAAAATTATCAAAACATTATCGCAAGATCGAATTTTAAATGTGACGCAAACAACGAACAGATATCAGTTATAAAAAATATTTGCGTAAAATTAGGGCCAAATACACAACAAAGGTATTCATAAAGCCTAAGTTCCTATGTTCAAATCAATTCACATGATATAAATGACTAATTTATTCCGTAATACAAACATAGGGTGGTTAGAAAAGATAACACCGAAAACAAACAAACGCGGAATGAATGATAAATACGATCTACCTGTTTTAATCAAAAATATCGAAACTTAAACTGATTTGTTCAGTTTCATCCATTATAACATATAATTCGATGAAACTTGTGTATCTTGGCTGAAACATTTTCAATCAATTGATGATGGGGAAAACAGTGAAGCAAAAAAGATTTTGAAAGCACTTTACAAAATAGAAGCAGGTTTTTCGTGCGCGAGTGGTTGGAATCCACTTATGAGTGGAAAGTTTGAAGAGTGAACAGAAGATATTTAAAATAATTCTCGCAGTTCTGATTAGATATAACAGAAATGGTAAGAATCATTATCATAACAGTAGGAAGCAAAAAAATGAGACAGTGACAAAATAATCGAAATTGTTTTTTATAGGTGAAAGTGTTCGAGTGGGTGCCTCAACAATCTTTTAAAAAGGCAAACTTCATTGCATCCAATGTGTGCCTAATATTGGGAGTTGACTTATAACAGCTGTATGTTTAGTAAAATTACGTAAAACAGAACATCGTTATTAATATAAAATGTTGATAATTCGACGAAAAAATGAAATTATATGTATTCTAAATCATTATGAATTACGAGAATCTTCATGACTTCTATTAAGTAAGTCCCATCGTAGCATGGCCTTGCAGCGCGCTGGACCTTGAAGATCTAGGACTATGAATAGGATCACCTTCTGATGTGAGACGTGATTGATGCCTTGAAAGAGAACGAGACCAATCCTGTAATTCATACTTGCTTTTTGACAGAGAATTGCAACGGGATCTTGTTGTAACTGAATTTTCCCGGTGTGAATCACCGTTTATGTTAACTGGAGTCTGAAACTGATTTTGTGGAAGTGCGTGAGTATTAGACACCGGTGAGGAAGGAAATGGAGATGGAGGTGATTGGAGAGATGTCATAACTGAGATTGGAGTGGACAATGAAGCATTCGGACTTGCGATCGACGAATTGCCTTTATTGGGAGAGAATTCCTTAATGAGATTACCAGTATCACCATCCACTCCTGGACTTATCCACATGGTCATTCCTGCTGCAATAGGGTTAGAAGCAGAACGATTGCGACACATGCGACGCTGGTGGGAAATAAGACTATATTTTTGACGAAAAGCTTTACCACATTGATAGCATTTATGTGGCTTTTCTCCTGTATGAGTTCGTAGGTGTTGGACCACATGACTTTGCTGCCTGAACAATTTACCACATAAACGGCAACCATAAGGACGCTCACCACTATGTACACGCATATGTGTGGTGAGCTGAATTTTTTGCTTAAAAGCTCGTCCACAGTGAAGGCATGGGTACGGCCGCTCGTCTGTGTGTGTGCGCATATGTTGTACTAAACCCGCCTTCACAGAAAAACTTCTCGAACATGTCATACACTGGAAAGGACGCTCGACTGAACTATCTTCTTCCTTTCCATCTACACCGTTGATAGAACTCATTGGCGAGATTTGGAGAAGACTAGAGCCAGACTGATTTCTTTGCTTATTAAAGCCCATCACACTGTTGCTACCAGTAAGTGGACCACCACTAGTAAAATTGAGTCCAAAAGCAGCCGCTACAGCAGCAGCTGCCGCTTGAGCATCCGTAGTTGATCCTGATAAACCATCGTTTAATCTGCCCGAGTAATCAGACTTAACACAGCTTCCTGTTTCATGGGGTAGAGGTCGAGATGCCGTTGGAGGAGGATAATTTGTCCCGGAACAAAACAAGTTGTTGTGAATAGGAGATGGGGTGAGCTCAAATGACTGGTGTTCATGATTTTGAACCAGACAGTGGTCCCCTGAACCACGTGATCTATTGGATTGTGAAACTTGATCCGGATCAGACCTGTTACAGGATAAAATATTGTAAAAAAATTTAGAACATTCATAGAAACTATGTATAGAAATTCGAAAACACTAAAAAGATGCGTTTCGAAATTGTTTTATGTTTGGAAATATCTCACAAAAGATAAGGTGGAAGACAAAAATTATACAAGATACAGTGAATATAAAGGGTTAAGGTGTTTGGTTTCAACCAATGAATTATGGTCCAAACTCCGTGCTGTCACAGTTCTTTCAAAAAATGAGGATTAGAGCCAAATACACGAACGAATACTTGGAAACTAAGTTACATTATCGTAGATTCAGTGTACGTATCGTGCATTAATTATGTTAATCAAAGTCATAGTTAAGTAACTTTGTTAAGACAGAAAATTATGACTAAATTTCTTTGGATACGGCATATCCTATTAAAATACCACAAAATTAAATCATGAAGATACGAACTAACTGAATATTGACGAACAATTTTTGACCTAGAATATGCCGATGACATAGTTCCATTTGGTGAAGACGCCGACAAAATGCATTTTGACCACTATAAGCAACAATGCAAGCATGTTCGACATGCGATTCTCCCCCTCGAAATGCAAAATGTTACTTCAGGATTGGGTTGCATCGACACCCGAACTAATGATAGGGAGCCAAGTAGTTGAGCGTGTCGATCGCTTCACTTATCTTGGAAGTCTCATCAGCCCTTGTGGTCTGGTGTATGACGAAATCTCATCACGGATACAGAAGGCTCGACTAGCTTTTGCCAACTTGCGTCATTTATGGCGTAGGCGAGATACCCGTCTATCAACCAAAGGACGTGTTTACTGCGCAGCAGTTCGTTCCGTCCTAATTTATGGCTGTGAAACATGGCTGGTAAGAGTAGAGGATATCCGTAGGTTACTAGTATTTGATCATAGGTGTCTTCGAAATATTGCTCGTATATCCTGGGACTATCGAGTAAGTAACTCAGTTGTTAGGAAACGGGTACTAGGTAAGGATGGCAAATCAATTGATGAAGTAGTGAAACTTCATCAGTTGAGATGGCTGGGACGTGTTATGTATGCCCAATCACCGACTGCCTCGATGTGCGATGTTTTGTTGTATAGGAGTAGATTAGAAAAAAGCTAGGGGTGGCCAGACCAAAATACGGCACAAGTCCATGAAGTCACTGACAAGTGGTCTGAGTCATGTCGGTAGGTGTAGACTACCTGGTTGGGGACAGCGAGATGATGGCAACCGATGGTTAGAGACCCTGAATGACATGGCTCAAAATCGTTTGCAATGGCGCAGGTGCATACACTCTTTGTGTTCTCCCAAATTTTGATCTCCTTATTCCTCCTTGTCTCCTTTTTTTCTCCTCTCAAATTTATTTCACTGTATTATACTCTTTAAGTAACATCTCCAAACACTAATCTTCCCGATTACTGCTTATACTCTTATTACCTCTACTACTACGGGATTTGAATCGACCACTGCATCTCTGTGCTAATGTGGTGTGGCAACTCGAACTGATGTACGTACGCACGAAGTTCTACGTTGTTACTGACTGACTGACTGACACCAGATAAACTGCAACTGTCCTTCTGGATAGCGTTTCATGCGAGTTTTTTTGTTGTCTTTGATAATCAACGACTTTTTACTTGAATATATTGTATAGTTAGGCTTTGTATTGTTTAACTCAATTTACATTAATTAAAACAAGTAAGACAAATTATAATCAAACGATGGAGTGATATGTTTAAGACCCGCATTTCTTCGTCATTCCCGTAATCCAAATAGCTCGTTAATATCAGTGTATTTTGTATTTTACTTATAATACAAAGATTTTGGTAATATAGAACCCAAAGAATGCCGCACAGCTAATGTACGTTGATACTTCTACACTACTCGTTTAATCTTCGACGAACGGTCGAGTATATATGTTCAGTTTGAGATGTGATAACCAGATTTACAATGTATACAGTTGATATTCTGCGAAAAGGAGCTAACCAACTATTAACTCGACTACAGAATTGTAACTAGAGATTACCAAAACGGACATTCATATGACCACAAACAGTGTAGGATCTTGAACAAAAGTAAGTTTAAGCCAGTACACTGCTTCAGTGAGACGACAAGATATTAACAAGATGAAAACCTAAGAACTTGAAATAACAGAAAAAACACAAGTATAGATGGATAGTGGTTGGCGATGGAATCCAAGACGCGCATCTCGTCCTATTTGTGACTCGTCAGCTGAATGTATCTGTACCTGAGTTGATGGTCATTCTGGGACTCGAACCCAGTACCGTTCGCTTCAAACGCATTGTCCACTTAGCTACTGAGTCCTGATAGCTACCTGCTTGTGCAATGGGGTGAAGTTTTAATTTCACCTGGTGTTGTTTACTTGTATCTTCCGACTGCAATTGACCAGTTAAGTGGCTATCAGGACTCAGTAACTAAGTGGATAACGCGATGGCGTTTGAAGCAAACAGTGCTGGGTTCAAGTCCGAGTGAACATCAACTCTGAGATGCAGGTAGATCCAGCTGACGAGTCCCAGGTAGGACGAGACGCGCGTCCTGGATCCCGTTGCTATCCACTATCCATCTTTGCTTATAAACCTTGTCACCTAAGGCAATATCGAGGCAATCCACACAGTATGTACGTATGCCAACAAGAGACTGAGCAATTGCAGTACTGAATATCAATGGGAAGATACAAGTAAACAACACCAAGTGAATTTCACAATAAGTATAGTTCTTAAGAAGAAAATGAAATCTAGGAATTAGAATTCCAGAATTAATGTAAACAGTGAGTGCAAAATCATTTCTCCATGAATTATATTACACAAGGTTTTTTTAAACACAGGACACGCTTACAGGACGGATCACAATTCAAAAGCTTGATCGGTCACTGGTTTGACAGCCTTTATGACTAGCACTGCATTAGCTTTCACTTAACAGTATACTGCCAACATTAGCAGCTCTCAAGTGACCCCAACATTTAGTATATGATTTGAAGATATCTATGGTCGAATATCTACAACAGAAATATATCTTACATTTTCACTGGTCCAGTTTTGAATCCGTAAAATAGGCAAACTAACAACTTATTGAGACCAGCAACAATATTATCAAACTAATATTCTGAGTATGTACATCTAAAGATATTGAGTTCGACTGTACGCTGTTAATTTTAAAACAAAACCTTTCTTCATATCAACGATCCTACGGCTCATATTCATCAACACCCTCAGAACTTGGAAATGCAGAACATCGAGTAGTACCGGGCATATACAGTACTTGGAGTGCAAAGCATAATGTATAAAATCTTACTTGATTCCTAAGTTATATTATGAATTGGTGATAGGTTTTGGTCATATCAACACACATCATAATAAGATACAGCTTCTTTTGACATTACGTTACGGTTTGATCACCCAAAAACTTCATCTTCTTATTAGTAAGTAGTAGTAAACACCCAATCAATATAACGATGGTTCTTACTATTACATCGAACTTAAAAACCAGGTTACAGTGAGTCAATCACAGGATCACAAAATGCTATCACTAGCCTGTATATAAGCATATAATAAATTATCAAGTTACATCGATTATTAACTTAATATCCAAGAACACGTTTCAGATAATTATGCATACGTTAATGGATTACATCCCAATAAACTTCACAGAATCAACAGACATGTTTCTATGGCCAATAACACACATTTCAAACTGTAACGACCTGAGGTATAATCAATAGATATTCAACTACTGCTACGTTTGAAGAGATTACGAGTTCACCTAATATGAGAACGGAACGAAGACTCTCTGAGGCACGATGACAGATAAGCTAGCTATTCTGACTCGACCCAGTCCAGCTAACTAGAGAGAGGAGTCCAAGTTCGGAAGAGGGAAATACATTCGACAAGCAACCAGAATCACAAACAACCACGACAAGTCTATTCGGAAATACACCCACTTATATATTGATTGATACACCCACTTTTGATTAAGAATTAGAATAAAATCACATATATAGAAAATAGTTATAACAAATCATATGCTGAGCATAGTTCATGTTAACTTAACACGAGAAAATCGCATGTTATACAGAACAAAATGCCATACGGGAAAACAAAACAAATACTATACTGAGTAATCATCACATTGAATTAAAAGAATTAATGTTGAACAGAAATCAGAATGAGTAAATCAATCTAATTTTGACTTTTCATCTCGTCATATCAACTACTTGATTAGACATTTCGGAAGTGGGAACAAAGATGTTTCAAATGACTAATAAATAATATACACAAGTAGTTCCCATCCCTTTAAGAAGCACATGATAGCCAGGAATCCACCATCTAGTGTCACACGGGACGTAATTGTAAATCAAATAGGCTCATAAGTGCACAAACTCACGAGAGAATACAATGATAAGATTCAGAGGTTCCGTCATTATCAAGGTATTAGAAACCAAAAATAAAATCGCTCTGGGGTACTTTCTGTTGTTGGAATCGTCTGAAGTCATACAAAGCTCAAGATGAAAGCGTTGCACCAAAATGTCGAAAATCTTGAAATTCTGATATGTATATGAAGTCAAAGTAATAGATAACGGTATAAACTTTACAACACACTACCAAGTTAGTTTAGTAAGAATGAGGGATGATGCTAACATATGTTGGTTTCCGGGATATGAGAAAAATAATTGATATTACGCGAGGACTTACAGCCAAGACTTTTTGGAAGACTGATTAAAATGTAGAACCCATCTGTGTTACAACCATCCTCTCGTATACACTAAGTATGATAACAGACAATTAGGTGATTCAATAAAAGAACTGATAGTTGGCGCACAACAAAAAGCCCCAAAGATATTCTCAGTAATGGACTCCTATATCTCCCATATGAAAATGCCAAAATATTTTATTCGTTTCCACCCTAATATTCTTGAAGTTGTAAGAATGTGCGAACAATCACTAAATACACATTCCAGACTAGTTTTTTTAAGGATTGATTTAAGCCAAATAACAAAAGAAATTATAACGAAGTTACCATCTTAGAAGTAAACAATCCACTAGAATGACAACAATGACTTAAGTCACAGATAAAAAACTTACTTGATCACATCTGGGCAGGAAAAGTGTGTCAATGTCGAGGGAAATAAAAAAGGGGCAGTAGACGTTGCTACAGCTGCAAGAAGCGGAGATGCGGAATTGATAAGACTTGATGCAATGCATTGCGGAAGCAGAGAAAAATTAGAAGGATTGTTCGTAAAGCATGGTGTTGTATTTTGAGAAAATATATTGCTCGAAATATCACCAGGGAAATTACTAATGTGCGAAAGTTGACTACTAGAACTTCCAGAAACTTTAGGACCAACATGTTCAAACTCGCTGAAAACTTGTGATATAGCACCCAGCTTTTGTATACACTTCTGTAAGTATTCCTTTGTAAAAGAATCGTAGTCGATCTTTTGTCTCAGTTCTTCAATTGTCATTGACAATTTACACGAATGTTCCTCCAGAGCACGCTTTTGATCAGCAACAGAACTGAACTGGTCAGCTTTCAAACAATCCAGCTGGGGAGCCTTGTTATCGCCAGGAAACCGTGAGTTCCACAGTTCAAGAAATTGAGTGAAGAAGTTCATCAATGATTTTCCGTAAACAGTGAAGAATTTATGGAAACAGACATTTAACACTAGTGCGAATAATCTCTTAGATTCGGAAGTAAATGAATAATCCGCGTGCGACTGCCATTTTAATGGAGAGCATAGTATATCCTTTTGAAATCTTTATTGAAAAATAAAAGTGAACACTAAGGAAATGGTCGATATCGAATTGTTGGGCAAATTAATAATGTAAGTTTGAAACTGCCGCAAAGGCCATGTTGCGCAGATATCAAAAGCACCACACATTCCAATAAGTGTATAAGACTATCAAACGTAACATATTATGTCACATAAAAAAACCATTTATTATTAATATTAATAGTATGAATGAAAATTGCTTATCACATGTGTTTAAGCTTCTGTCATCATGACGACAGGCAAAAAATGAAAACGCCCCTTCGAGTATGCCATCACACTAGATTTGTACTGTATAGTTACTTTAAGATAATCTTACCGTGGAGATCCCTCCATATAATTTCAATGTAGATGATAGTAAATAATGGTATCAGTGCTTGCACAAAAGTTTGTTATAACTCACTTATATGCTGAGTAAATCATAATATTTGTTAAGTGACTTATCACAACGTTTTGCATAAGCATTGATATTATAATTTGTAATCACTTTAATTGATAAACCACAATATGTATCGTAATGAATCAATTAAAGTTCCTCTTACAGAGTCAAACAACATGCATTTACTATGGTTTTCTCAAATACGCTGAATATTACAGCAGGTTTCTTTTTGTAACATATATGTTGCCATATACATGAGGAAAATGAGACAGGAAGTAAAACCCTGAAAATTTATATTACATAAGGTTGATTTCTCAGACTAGTATCTTTAAAAGTTTTCGTGAACCCCCAGTTTTCAATGTCAGGGTATTAGACGCCAAAGGTTTCCTAACTCTAAGTGTAAAAATCACGTTTGACACCCAAATAATCATCCTTAGGTTCTTCAGTCTTCGAAGGTTGGGTTCAGGATGAATTTGTTAATCCTTGCTATAGTAGTAACCTGTCTTTGAATTTATCAACATTATGTGCCGATGCTTTGTGTTTTGGTTGACACTCCCATAAGTTTGCCATTTATAGTGAAAGACAAAACTCCAGATCTAGACCACTTGATCTAGATTTTTCAAATTTATAAGAAAACCCACTGAGATAGAGGAGAAAGAATAGAAAATAATAGTTGTGAAATCATGATTTAGTGTACGGTAAGCTAGTGTTATTTCACTTATTTTGTGATCCAATATTGCAATTTGTTATTGCCGTAACTATGTTTTACGTTAAAAAAATGCATTCTTATGTTCTCTCAACGTTCCATGCGGATGCTAATAATAAATGTAAATCACTGAAATACGTACAACTTTGAGTAGTTCTTTGTCCGAAGTACATGAGTTGACGGGATAATAACCTTTAAAAAAATAAAAACGTCTCAGAGAGATTGTAGAAAATTATTTTGGAAAGTTTGCAACTCAAGTAACCAACCTGGTTTTCTATGACTTATCCACCTTTAGGTAAATTTGTATTGGCTTACAAAGTATACACAAAATGCAGTAGTTCTAATTTGTTATTTACTGAGTAAATTTATCACACGCACTACAACATCACTGCATGGTAATATAAATGTAGACTTTCTCATTATTCAGTATTGTAGTTTACTTGATTTGAGCTATCCATCCACAAAATGGACTTTATTCGTTTGCTTATTGCTAATTTTTATTAGATGGGTGCAAGGACTGAAGAAGTTTCAATTTGGATTTTTAGGTGATCATATTTTGTGTATAAAATGTGGTCCATCAATAAAATTTCATGATATATTAACTAATAAGGTTGAAACACTTCATTTGCCTACAAAATACTCCACTGTTCTATCCATACATCCACTAGAACCTTATTTTGCCGTAACAGAGTTATGTAACGTCAACCCAAAGGTTTACGTCTACAGTTATCCGCAAAAGGATGAAATTATTTTGAAAAGTAAGTTGCAACCCGATTCGCAAGCTTTGCCAATTTTTATCAAACAGATGCTGCCAAATTGGAGATACAACAGTCCATCTTTTCCTATGCCAAGTACTATGCAACAGTGTCTGGCATACCTGATTTTATTCTATCTGTATGGTGAGTTGACTTATTGATATAAATCAATGTTCTAAATTTTGTGATCTAATTTTGTGTCTCATTCAGTTATCTGGCTTGACACCATTTGTTATTGTATCAGTTAGTTCCAGTGACTACTTATCACAAAAGTTATTAGCTGTTTTTACCATCATTTAAATTCAGAATAACAGTGATCTAATTAATTTAATTAAACTCTTAAAATGTCAGAAAACTAACCTCATACAGAATGAACCGATTCAGATAGACAAGCACTAAAAACGAACGGACATAACTCACTCCGGATTAGTGTGTGAACTTTAAAAGTGATTTCCTCTTAAATGTTAAGTTTTGGGACTTAGCATCGATAGATTCACGTTTCATCTCCTTTAATCATTCGTAAAACTAATTGCGCAATCAGACTGGCATCCTTTAGTATGCAATCAGATATTAGCATACAAACTCTGAACGGAGAAGGAGACGGTTGATCGCTGTTATGCGAATATGAAAAAACATGTTTATTCTAAAAATAAGATCATGAATTATAAACACCGTTGGTTGTATGTTTTTTTCCGCATAGCTCAGCCATGAAGTACAACCCTCATGAAATTACAGACTAATGACAGTAATAACAACCTAACTCATAGATGTATATTGCCCTCTGAGATCAACCCGGACAGATATTTTAAGAAGTCTAGCTTGGCGGTATAGTTAACTTATGAAACCTTTAGTGCTGTTACAAGTTCTACTCAGTCATAACCATCCATTGAGTTATCACCATGCTGCACTCTATATGGCTTAATAGATGATAAGCTGTATGTTATGTTCATTATGGATTTATATCTTTTTGGTCATCAAAAAAACGTAATTTAAAGCCTGGATACAAGTGTCACATAATTTAAAACATGACATTATATTTGATGCTACAGTTGACTAAAAATTATACAACCGGATCTACTAATGGTTAAGTAAAATCAAGAGTGATATTTTTATTGTCCTCACTTTTATGACTTTCAATACTAAAAGCAGTAGTTGAATACCATTTCGCTTCTAGTTTCATTGAGGAACACCCATTTTATAAATGTTTTTGGTCAAATTTGATAACCCCTTTCTTTACAAATATCCCGATTCTTTGTTTATTTTTGAATTTAGAAATAAATATCACCATTGTAAAAGACTTAGTCTAATGGAACCTTAATCAGCATACGTCTGTGTTTAACTCTTGCATTCAGGAAACAGGTTTTATTTGATGACATTTTATAGTGGCCAACATCAGCGAATCCAGCTCCAGTCGGGACCATTAGTTTTATTTATCAGATTGTTTACGCAATCATTTTCATTTTACCATTGTCATTGAGACTCAAAATAAAATATTTTAAATACTGTGAAGTTATGTTTTGAGTCACGATAACCAGTAAGTATTCAGTGATATATGGTCTTCTGTAAATAATACTACCAGCAACGTTCAAATGCTGTTCGGATGAGTTTGAAGTAACCGCTGTCAGTTCTTAAAAACACTCTGAAATGTCACCATGAGCTAATTTATTCAAATCAGTGAACCGTCAACTTAAACTTTATAAGGCGCCCAACTTGTATTTTTGTACTGATTTGTTGAGGCGATAAAAACGCTGTACGATAACCCATGGTGTTATACGTGCAAATTCGTTAGGTTGATAGCTGGTTGAGAGTAACCACTTATTTGTGTGTATCAAACATAAGAAGGAAATCCAGGAATGGGCAAACGTTGTGATTCAGTAAACATGAATTCCTGACTACTGATTTTTATAGGGTTGCCAAGTGTTACTTTTTCAATACATCTATTGTTCATTGGGCACTAAGATAACTAGTATTCCATGGTAAGATAACCAAGTTGATGAATACTCACAAACCCAAATCTTGGTTTCCAAATGAACGAATATAAAAGGTTTAGCAAACAATTACGTGCATTGAACTTATTTCTAAAACGAAAATTGGGACGAAAGAGCATTTCTACGAATTATAGAACAGGTAGCATATATTTCATCGAGAGAAAAACTGAATGAAGGAGGAGCTAAACTGAATAACGTTATGGGATCTTCATAACAGTATATTATCTTCAAATAGCTTAGATTTCCATAGCATTTTTGAATGATGGTTTCCGTATAAGAGACTGTAGGCGACTTCGTTTTGTAAATAATTCTAAAAATCACAAACTGAGGCTCTCATGATAAGTAAAACTGAATATAATATCTAAGCCGTCGATTTGAGAAATCTTATGAGAAAAACAATTCGTAGGTTAATTTGAACCATTTATATTTGCACCATTCATACTTTTTGCAGGGATTTTCATTCTTGTGAAATATTGTGCAAAACTAATTTAAATGGACTACATTTAACAACATTCAGCTTTTGTCCGACAGATTGGCATTATCTCTTGGGAACAGATCATCATTGTATACATATCTGGCAGGTTGAAACATGTGACCGGATGAATTCTATTAAATGCAAGTAAGACTTACTATCCTACCGGCATACACAAATGTATGTTTATTAATTGTATCATAACAAAACTATATAAGCTAAGTAACTGTAAACTTTATTTCTAAAAATGGGTATAAATATTAATAAACTGAAGAGCTACTAAATCTCTAGTCATATTATAAATCAACGTTATTTTGATTTAATTTTGTTTAATTCGCTTATTTCAATCACTAACTCTCCAACAAGTTACACATTTGTTCTTCCAAAGACTAGCCCCATATTCATGGGCTACTGAGATGCCGTATCAAGATTTTAACTACTGAGTTTGATAACACTTGGTCAAGTCTTTATTTCTAAATTCTTATTGATATAAGTTTTTTAATATTTATAACGTACATTTTTGAGAACAAGAAAGCTTTATATAACCCTGAACAGCAATAAATGTATTTACTTGGTTACGTTTCACTTATATGAATACTTAAGAAAACGAGACAGAAATAGGTGTTCAGTCTCAGGACTTGAAACGTGTCTTAAACTGTATTATTCAAAACACCGGCAGAAAGTTCTTCGAAAATATCTGAAATAGAATACATGTATACTTCTTTGGTCCTTTATTCTCTCTAACATGTTTCACTGACTTGGTAAGTCATGAAATAAGTTTATAGATAATGCATTCAAATATCCTAGCACTTACAAATGACGTAGGTTCAGGAATGCGGAATCAACATTCTGAACAAAATATCGAAGAAAATCAATAGTCAGGTATCATTTTGGTTGTTATACTCACGTAGCATAAACCATAGTTTGAGTATATCCTAATGAATGTTAGATATTTATTTTCAAATGAATAATAATTAGTTCCATTTAATAAATATCTTACTGATTCATTACTAGCTTCATAAAATTTGATTTTAGTTCGATGATATTACCAGAGCGTACCGTTAATCTTGGGCCATATTATGGATCACATAACACTAAGACCAATGGAGATACTGCAGGTATACGACATGAAACAAGATTTGATCCAAATATACTGAAATCTTCAATTACAGGTGACTTAATATTTACTGTTGCTTTTATTATATTCTGCTTCACTTATTCACTATCTGGTGTTACTTTCATTAACATCTATCGTTTTTCTACTTGGTAAGGAATCAATGAATCCAGAGATGAGGAGTTTGACGATTATATGGACATATCTGTTCGATTAAATTGCGTTTCACAGACTTGGACGAATTCAAAATTAGTTTTTATCGGCTGTGAAGGAGGCCAGTTGTTATTGGTACGTTTCATTTACGATTTTCAACTTTTCATCTTTATTTGGTTGTCTAGAATGTATTTCTCAGACTCTTCACTAATACCTTAATAACCATGCTATCAGTAGTTAACCAAAACCATAGTGTTGTTCGATTATTTTCAGACTTCTTCATCTGAATATTTTCATAGGTAACTTAATAGTTGGATTCAAGAGTCACTTGAAGCTAGAACACCATGGAAAACCTGGAAGCACTGGACGGTCGTTTCATCCCATTGTGGGACTCCTCAGCCGTGCGCATCCACGACCTCGCCTCCTGCGAGATTCGGACCCAGGACCTACTACTGGCTTCACGCGCCAGCACTTAATCACTAGGCCACTGAGCTGGCATCCAACGGTGTTAATGTCTAACTTCAACCACAGGTGTTAATTTAGAAGCTGTTATTAGAAATAATTCACTGACCAACTAATCTACGAATATACTCCAAACCCTTGAAATGTTTTATTAAATTCATTCATTAGTTATCAATATTTATCCAATAAGCGTTAAAATATGAGGCTTGACATAAATTTAATGCGTATCCTATGTGTATGTATAAAGGGTTTTGTAAGTTTGGTCTGAATAATTTAGTTACTTTGAATGTAAGTAATGAAAAGTTAGGTTAGCACATCATAAATTATAAGTAAATATTACATTTTATCCTTATTACGGGTACGGCATCGATCACATATATTTCAGAAATGTGATTTAACTGGATAATGAACTTCTATTCCTGTTTTAGTGTTAATACTGATCCAATATAATAAAAAATATCTTTCATGCCCTAATTTTCAAGAATTAAAGCAGATTACCTAAGTACCTACCTGATCATTGAGACAGACTTATACTTGTAGCAGATAAATTAAACCTATTTTAATGAAAACTTCACTGTCAGTAAAACGTTATCTGTTAGGAAGTCTCGTAGTATTTGGGGGGATAAATGCTGCAATAGACCCGTAAAAAAACACTCAGTGCTAACCTCCCCAATTGCCGTCCCGACTGGTTCATAGTTACAGTAGGTAAAAAATTCCAAAGACTTTTCTAGTGTTTAACTATGTTTTTTGATGTCATTGAATTACATTTTGGAACTTACTGTTTAGCCCATCTAAATGTTGGGGAGTGAAATAAATATAGAAAACAGCCATGTTTAAAAAATCCAAAGAATTGGTGATAATGATGTTGTAAACGTTAGTGTAATTTTAACCCTAAAATCAAAACTGGATACCTCGTAAATAATCCAACTATATGTAATACTGAATTCTTTCTTTTATCTTGTGTAGTGAATTCACATTTTTAAATGCAAAAAGTCTATTATTTCTTTTTCTTTTCAAGTTTGACCCCCTCAGCATGAATGTAAAAATTTTATTGAACCCAGCTTCTCGTTGTCAGTGTCTCAAAGGTAAGGAAGACAATAATGCAATAACAATCATGAAAATTAACAGATTTTTTCTAAAATTTCTTCTGAACAACATAGATAAATAATGACAAATATTTTTTATTTATCTGTAACATGCTAATAATTCGCAAACAAATAATCGATTATATATAACACTATTCTGTTCATACTTGATCGTTTTGTAATTAAGTATCAATTTTGGCTGGATGTTTTATTCAGTAAAATCTTAATATCAAAGATTAAGGTTCACCGTTTTCATATCATTAGATATTTTTCAAGCAAAAATAATTACTGTAAACCTGATCTCAGAGCTCCCGACCGTTGTTGCTACCTTGACGTGGTGGTCGGGCTTCCCTATCGTGATGAACTAATCGAGCTATACTGGCTGGAACAATCATTCCTCAAGGTCCTACCATGCCAGACACGTCGGTTGAAGAGCGGTAAGTCTAAAAGCAGCAAATCCAAGGTCTGAGGGTGAAATCGTACTGCTGACTGTGCAGAGGTGTGACGGCGGCAATGTGTTTCCTTCAGACAACCAGCATAACAGCGATGCTGCCTTCCCATAAGGAGGGGTGAGGTTAGAAAAGATCGACCCTAAAAATACACACCTCGCCTTATCCCATGGATATCCGTCTCGAGCTGTAAGGTCTCAACAAGTACGGAGCTAACACAAGAATTACTCACAAAAGGGTTGTGTGTGACCGACCTCAAGCAGTTGTCCCTTGGGCACTGCGGTTACGCTCTCAGGTCACTAAGACCACCTTTAATCCAATTTCCTTTTCAGGTACATCCAGAAGAACCCTTCCACGGTGTGGGCAACCGGGAAGTGATAATTTCCCTCATACCTCTAACAGCACTCAAGACCACTGTATTCATAGTCAACCTTCCTCTTCAGTTCCTATTATTCCTCCTAGATCGACCTTCCTCTTTTGGCTACCTCCTCAAGTGTCTCCATGGCCAACGATTCTAGTGCGCAAAACACTGTCCCAGGGATACTGAAATCTTGCTCCAAACTACACATTAAGCCTTCAACGTAAGTAACCTGTGTCAAATCGGCCAACATGCCTCCTTGGCTAAAACCCTAGACTCTCGCACTATTGATGTATGCTGTGTCTCTGAAACACGCACACAGGATCCTAGTGTGGTCATTCACTTAGCCTCATCTTGCCAAAATGGAGAGCCGACGAGATACACCCTCTGTGTATCTGGCGATCAGATGGCTAGTTGTTGTGGACTGGTAGATGTAAGCATAGAACTAAGTACGAGGGCGTAACAAGCACTATTATAGTATATGCCCGTTAACAGTCTTCTATGTACTGTTCGGCTAAATGGCTTCGTAAGAACTCTGAAGGATAGGGCCACATGTCGTTGCATACACACGTTGCATAAGGAGAGACATCGTTTAACATGACGACCCCTTGCACCAGACCAACGGTGAAGTCAAATAGACCATATTGCCATCAGTCGTCGTTGGAGAGGGTTGATAGAAGATTGTCGCTCATTCTGGAGTACCTGCTTGAACTCCGACCATGCTCTAATACGGGCACGCATCTGCTTGGGCCTCACTGGATGCAGAAAAGCCACACTAAAAAGACCCATCAGAATTTAATCGAGTAATGAGAAAACTAAAAGTAGGTTCCAGGAACAACTGAAGTCACACTTAGGTAGTTCTGAAAACAAGGCTGACCCAGATGTTGCTTGGGAAAATAATACAAACAGCTATGGAAACAGCAGTGACATCTATCAGTGATTTAAATCAAAGGGTTACAAAGAACCAATGGATTTCTTCTAAATCTATTGCACTGATGGGTTCTCCTAAACTCATCCCATCAGGCTCCGAACATGATGAAGAGCAAAAACAAATCAGATCTAGGTTAACCAAAAGTCTAAGGAATGACCGTGAGCAGTGGTGGGCAACGAAAGCAAAAGAGATGGAAAAGGAGGCGGCTATAGGTTGTACAAGACAGCTCTTCGGACTAATCAAAGAAACTGGAATTAATAAGTCAAGTGTTAGTGAAACTACCTCAGAAAAAGACGACATTTTATTTGCTCCCATTTCAGACGTTTAGAATGATGGGCAGAACATTTTAAGGAGCAGTTCAGCTTGCCTTAAGCTAATCTACAACTACCCACCATTCCCACACAGTGTGAATGGAACATTGAAGTAGGTCCCCCAACTCTAGCTGATGTTCAAAAGGCCAGAGTTAATCTGAAACGAGAAAGGGCAGCTAGTCCAGATGGATTGGTTCCAGAGGTCTTTAAGGATGGTGGTCCAATTTTAGCGATTAGGTTGACTAATATTTTAGCTAAAATCTGAGAGTTGGACGTAATCCAATCTGATTGGTCACAATCACTGATTGTCCTAATGTATAAAAAGGGGTCAAAATCATCCTGTGATAACCATAGAGGGATTAGTTTAACTGATATAGTATCTAAAATACTAGCCTCGATAATTATCAGACGCCTAACTAAGACTCGTGAACTGCAAACACGAGAGAACCAAGCTTGCTTCAGACCTGGTCGTGGCTGCATCGACCACATATTCACCATTCGTCAGGTTCTAGAACACAGGCATACTTATCGGCGTCCGACAATGGTGGTCTTTCTTGACTTAAAAGCAGCATTTGACTCGGTAGACCGCGAGATTCTGTGGCAGTGTCTGTCATTGAAAGGTTTACCTCAGAAGTACATAAACCTTGTGAAGGCTCTTTACTCGAACACTACTAGTCGAGTCAGAGCTTATGGCGAACTGTCATCCGCTTTTGCGACCTCAAGTGGTGTCCGTCAAGGCTGTTCACTCTCTCCATATTTGTTTAACTTCATCATAGACCTACTGATGGAAATAACATTCTCGTCGACTGAATTCTCGGGTATTGATTTCTTAACAGAAGGTCCACTTATCGACTTAGAATACGCAGATTATATAGTCCTGTTTAGTGAAGACGCTGATAAAATACAGTCTTTTGGTAGCACTGGGCAACAATGACAGAATGTTTGGGATGCGTTGCTCGACATCTAAATACAAGTTGTTGCTTCAGAACTAGCCTGCGTCAACACCTGAACTAAGGATAGGGAGTGAAGTAGTCAAAGGCGTTAGCAACTTCACCTATCTTGGAAGTCTGATCAGCCATAATGGGTTGGTGACTGACGAAATCTCAGCACGGATTCGAAGAGCTCGTTTGGCTTTTGCCAACTTACGTCACCTATGGCGAAGGCGAGATATCCATCTATCAATTAAAGTACGAGTATACTGCGTGGCAGTTCGTTCTGTTCTAGTTCACGGCTGGGAAACGTGGCCATTAAGAGTAGGAGATACTCGTAAGCTACTAGTATTTGACCACAGATGCCCTAGAAATGTTACTGGCGTCTGCTGGGATCATCGGGTAAGTAATAGTGAGGTTAGACGCAGGGTATTAGGGAATGATGGAGAATCAGTTGATGAGGTTATGAATCTTCATGGACTGAGATGGTTGGGCCACGTGTTGCGTATGCCTGAACTCCGATTATCACGATGCGCAATGCAGACTAGTGTTGAGGATAGTTGGAAGAAAGTTAGGGTGGCCAAACCAAAACGTGGCATCAGTGCTTGAAGTCACTAAATTCTAGTCTGTGCCATGTTGGTAGATGCAGACTACTTGGTTGGGATCCGCGTGACTATCGTAACCAATGCTTGGAAACTGTGGGTGACATGGATCAGAATCGATCACAATGGTGTAGGTGTATACACTCTCTGTCATCCTTTATACTATGAGATTCAAATAGCTTCATATCTTTCTTTCTACGAACTGGTTTTTTCTTTATGTATTACATCCTTATACACAATCTTTCTTTTATATATTACCACCATTGAATTAAACTACTTCTATGAGTTCGGTTTTCATCTTGCTGTGCTAATGATGTATGACAACTTGGATCGATGTACATATGTGCCTTGTCCTACATTGTAGCTGACTGACTGACTGTCAGAGCTGTATTAAAAAGGATATGAACGTTTTCATGACTATTTTATTATCAGGCTATTATACTATATATGAATTTATTACTTACATGCAAAAAATTCATTTTCCCATATCAGTTCATTGATAAGCGTTTTATTTTATTTTATTAATTAACATTCTTTCTTGAATATATAGAAGCGTCTGAAAGTACTCCTGATAGAACTGATTGCAATTGTGATTTAATTTCAACAGAGTCTTCATTAATTAATTCAGAAGTGGAAATAGTCAATAAACTAGAAGGATGTTTAACCTATATATTATATACAACGCATGGTTTATTAGCCGGGGGTAGTGATGGTGTTCTACGTTTACTAATTTAAGTAAAGCAACAAAAACGATAGTTAATAAAATAAATCCACTCAACAAACAAGGTGATCAATTATCTGTCAAAGTAAATGAAGCATCATTAGCAAAAAATAGTGAAAATTATTTATTCAACACTGAAATTCAAAATTGTATAAATCTCTATAAATTTGAAAACCTGATACAAAATAATCGATACCATTGGGGTAAAAATATTACAGGTTTGAGTATATCATCGTCTTATAGACAAATTGCAGTTAGTTGTCGGCTTGGTTATTTGAGTTTATTTAGTTTACATGATTCTCTACAGTCTACTCTCAGTCCTGATAAAGAAATGTTTACTAACTGTGATCGATTTGTTGGAATGGGACTAATTACATTCGAAAAATCAATAATTTGTGTTGTAAGTTAATTTGAGTATCCGTTTTGATCTACTCTTTGTTAGTGCAATAATTTTCACTGATACACCAATCAAGATATTATTTATCTATGCTTAACACTAGTGATTCATCAAAACAATCTTACCGTGTGCAGATAAAAACAAAGGAATACCGAATGAATATTCAAAATTTTAAGTCAATGAAAGCACAAGATAATCTTTACCATCACCATCCATTTTGAGCCAAGTGATTCGCCCGCAACTAGTTTTCGCAGTCTCTGAGGCTCAGACCATAAGTTTATTATATTTCCTCATATGAATAAAAAGTTCATAGAAGATTTATACCTATTGAAATTTATTAGTACTAATTTTTTATATCGGACCAAGTGATAAATAATCATATTTGGTTACTTTTAAGCATTTCCAAGTTGAAACCTTTTATATTTACACTATTGAATAAGGTACAAGTAGTACAACTCAATTTTACGACATACTTGTTAACAAACTATTGAAAAACAGAATTGTTTAAAGAAATAGATGGAATAAAAATTGTTTTTGCTTTAACTATTCCCATGGTGGAGAACACTTTGGTTTTCCAATTCTCGGTTAAATAGCTTTGCACAGTAACAGACTATAAACAAGTTCTCTTAATAAATTCAAATAGTGCGTGATCAATAAGAATTGCAGAACGAAATGAACTTATCCTGTCAAATGGCCTCTCCTTGGATGCATACAATAATATTTATGACATGTTTATTCCTCCTATATTTATTCTTCTCAATTTCTATTTCTTTTCACATAATCATATAAACCTCACTGAATAAAGCTGGTTGCTGATGATAAGAAGCCATGAAATATAACAAATTCATTTTATTCTGCAAACTTTATCGTTCCGACACTGTTAAAATAGCAAGTTCCAACTTAATTTTTTTTATTCGTTTTATGAATCCCCTGGTAATTCAAGAATTTTCGTAGTGCTACGAGAGAATAAGCCATTCGGGCACACGTTGCTTGAAAAATCATTCGGGTGTGTTGTTCTGACTTAGGAAACTTGTGAATTAAACTTGTGGACGATGATATTTTTGATCTATTAAGACAAACCAGAAATATGTCCGTTCTGATAACTGAGTTAAAATATTTAGTAAAACAGTAACCCAGTTTTTAATTGTGATTTTTATTCAAATTATTTCGTTTACCTAGAGAGTCACAGTGAAACGGGATTCGCAAAACAATGGCAACACAATAAATACTATTTAAAAAATCTGAAAATGTTCGTAACGTCAAGAAATGGTGTAAAAATTGTTGAACAATATTTAGGGGACATGTAAATATTGAAATATATGCACATTTAGATGATATTAAAATAAGGTCCACTGATAAAAACGCTCAAAGTTACCGTTGAATGTATGTATTTCTACGCATCATATGACTAAATTTAAGTTGTAAATTATTGTTTTTCACCACGAACAGTATCTGGTATGTAAATAATCACATTAAATTGGTCTTCGTATGCTTCATATTGGAATGACTGATTTTCAAATATTTTCAGTATAAATTATGGTTTAAATACTGGTTTATCATTTTGTCTATTGTAAAGACTGCAGGAACTACCGGTATAATCAATTGTTGGGATTGTATAACTGGAGAATTGATTGGATCGTTATTTCTCAATTATACAGTAAGAAGTTATATCTACTTATTTTTGTACTGATTATTATTCTCTTTTGTTGCCATTTCTCATTCACTCATACTAATTCCATCCTCTTTTTTCCGTAATAATGTAATTTTATCGATATTTGTAATTTAAATAAATGGATATATTTTATTCAAGCAATTTATAATCAAAATTAAATCAACAGATTAGTTGAAGCTAGACATTAACACCGTTGGATGCCAGCTCAATGGTCTAGTGGTTAAGTGCTCGCGCGTGAAACCAGTAGTAGGTCCTGGGTCCGAATCTCGCAGGAGGCGAGGTCGTGGATGCGCACGGCTGAGGAGTCCCACCATGGGATGAAACGACCGTCCAGTGCTTCCAGGTTTTCCATGGTGTTCTAGCTTCAACTGACTCATGATCTTAACCATTGAAATTGCTATAATATTCACAAAACCCATCTGAGATTTTATTTTGTTTAACTTAATTCTCATTTTGACATTTAACTCATTCGAGACATATAATTTGTCTTTTATAAATGACAAAGGTTTATGTCTGACAAATAGAAATTGTTAATTAGAATATTTGAAATCATGCCAAGAGCAATTACATCGAAAATACAGAATATTCATTAATAAATTTGTCATATGATGGAAGTCTTAATTTATATTTTTCCCAAAGTATTATCTGTTTTGAATTATTATTTCATTTGTTAACAAAAATATATCAAATATCATGTACTTTTAATGTAGGAATATTATCTTTCAATATTCCAAAGTCGACTGTTTATACCATTTACTTTATGTATCATAAACATTTTATTATTAAGTGGAATTTTAATTAGATAAATAAAATTATACTACTAACAAGTAACTAAGAATGAATTTGAGGCTTTACGAACGATATAATGGGAAAAATTACCATACATTAGTAGTGTAGATGAAACATTCACGAAATTCTGTTTGCTATATTATTAATTAGTTATTTGAAAAATTTAATTCTTTATAACTATCTTTGTAATTATTGATTGATGTACTTGATGAATAGCGGTAAGAATGATCAACTTCAGAGCTCATTGTTTACAAACCACCAGTGATTATAATGAAAATAATGAAAATTTTAACTTTGTATGGACGCAAAAATTATCATGTGTTGGCCTTCTAAAATGAGCTGCTATTGAACAGAATTTGACTTGGTAACTATGTATTGGTAAAAAAGGGTTTCAACCTCAAATGTTTCGTGACACATAAGTTTTGGGAAATTTTTTTCCTTGACATTTCATGGTTTTATAAAATTTTGTCTGACAGTGTCCTTTTTAAAACCACTTTGTAATAAATGCTTATAAACCGATTACTTTATAAGAGATAGAGTGTTCTCAGAACAGATTCTCTAGATAGACATTTTAAAAAAAGCATAGATTCTTATGTCACAAAAGTTGCATACTTTCGCAGTTGATTAATCACTGAGAAGTGATCAGTGTCATTTACGTAAAGTTTTTCTTAGTGTTAATCGAATTTTATAAGCCTAGTTGCGATGTAGCCACAGGTTTAAGTGACTCGAAATGGTGTACAGTATCTTGAAATGTAAGGCGGTGGTTGGAAGTAATCCACAGAAAGCCATGAACCTAGGTTACGTGCTATTTTTCACTCGTTAGCAAAGTGCTGATCGAATTCTATATTCTGTACAGAATGGTGATTTAGTGTTTTTCTAAAAATGTTTTCTGGGTACCTGTTATTTATTACTTGGTTTAGTCTTCCTCAAGTAATGATAAACATCATACTTGATATGGCTTACTAAAGCTTGTAATGTTTTAACAACTAGTAAATTTTAGTCAGCTGGGAAACTTTTCGTATCAGTTTTTGGTGCTTTAATTATGAAAATAAGTCAGTAAACGGGCTGATAATATTGCATAAACTAATTATATGCTATGTTGAAACACGATTTTCGACATTATAGTACGTAACTTCTAAGAACCCTGTTTTTTCGTAACAACACGATCTTTATTATTGAAAAATGTTTGAAAAAACTTTTTAATCTACCAAAGATTCTTATTTTTTTCCTCAACCTAGTGTCATTGTTTGGCCATTTCACCAGTTTTGCCTTTGGCAGTTGCTGGAATGAATTCTGGCTCTCTAATGTTTATTGACTTTACTAGTCCCACTTCACCGAGAATTGTAAATGTTATTCGACTCTACCTTAAACCTCTAACACATATTGCGTGAGTGTATATTATGAAGTACTTTTATTTGTACATTTTTGTCGGATTATCCTTCATGTAATATTAAAAGCTGACGCCCTTACCTTTTAGACATAACTGAGGTGTTTTTATTTTGTGTACAAGGATAAAGAACACATTGTACTTATTTCAATACAACATGTTACTTGCGATAAGATGGTGCTGGAGGTAGTCAACAGGAATCCTGGATCTAGGTTTCGTACTACTTGGTACTCGTCAACAAGATGTACCTGTGATTTTGAGAGAACTGATGCTCCCTGACGGAGCACTGCATCACTAATGACGTATTCAGTTACAAAAAGCAGGAAAACATTCTCATGAAAAGACAAACAGAAATCAATGAGTTTACCAAATTTGACCTAATAAATTATCATTCTATCTGACCAAAGAGATAAATACCAGATTTATCCAGTAATCGTTCATATTTTGCAATTGTAAAGTGTTTATGAACACTGTTTTACTTCAGATAATTTTAGTTAGCGAATGTTATCACAAAAAAAGTGATGATAATTTATGGGTATTAAAAACTCAAATTAAACGTGGATGACATAACCTACAAACAATGGTGATAAATTATTAACTACTATGATATACTAATCAATAAAAACTATATAATTCAATATAATATTCTATCATAAAATATTCACTATCCAGTGTATAATAATAATTTTTACAAAACAGTTCATTTGTAACTTAAATTTTCGACTATTAAGAAATAAACTAAGGACAAAAGTTTATGGAATATATATATATATATATATATATATATATATATATATATATATATATATATATATATAGATATAGATATAGATATAGATATATATATATACCGATTAAAGTTAGACATTAACACCGTTAGACGCCGACTCATTGGTGTACAAGTTAGGTGTCCACACGCGAGACCGATAAGTTCTGGTTTCGAATATCGCATGCGGGATCGTGGGTGCGCACTTCTGAGGAGTCCTACACTAGGACGAAACGCTATTCCAGTGCTTCCAGGTTTTCCATAGTGGTCTAGCTTTAATTGTTTCATGAATTCAATCATCACATTATGTAGAAGTTGATATAAACTGAAAAGAGCTGCCCAAAATTACAGCACACACACTATATATATATATATATATATATATATATATATATATATATATATATATATATATATATGAATAATTAATGCCAGTCACAATTCACGAACTAAATCACAAGAAACAAAGTTATTTACCATGTATACAAAGAATTTGACACACATAAATATTTAATATGAAGTATCTCAAAATCAAATTATTGTTTTTGTAAATAGGAAAAAAAATTGTCATTTATTCTATATACTACTAAGAGTATGGTTATGAAAGTCTACATTAAAATAACAAGGATTTTTTTATTATTAATTGTTATTGATAATGAAATAACTCGTTTATTCCACTTGTAAATAATTATTATTATCTTAGGTTACTTTGTTTTTATATTTAATTACTATGATATTTTAAATGTCAATAAAAACTTTATTTCTATTTAAAATTGTTTTAGTTAAATCGAATTGAATAATTTCATTTTTTAGATCATCCATTTCTAGAAAACATGAACCAGTTTAATAATTTTAAAATATAAAGTAATTAACAATATATCATACAATTAATGAATAATTCATTTTTATACTACTCAGTAATGTGTTTTTTATTTTATTTTCAGATTCGACCCTGATGGTGAATTTTTAACTACAGTAATAGATGATGGTCCAAGTATTTTAGTATCAGCATTACCTAACAAATCTTTTGAACCAATAGGTTATGTGTGTAAGTTTAATCATAATATTTTCTTAATAATCATAAATGTATTGATAGAAAGTATACTGAAAACAATTCAGTCAGTCAGTAACAACGTAGAACTTCGTACGTACGTACATCAGTTCGAGTTGCCACACCACATTAGCACAGAGATGCAGTGGTCGACTCAAATCCCGTAGTGGTAGAGATAATAAGAGTATAAGCAGTAATCGGGAAAATTAGCGTTTGGAGATGTTATTCAAAGAGCATAATACAGTGAAATAAATTTGGGAAGAGAAAAAAGAGACAAGGAGGAATAAGGAGATCAAAATTTGGGAGAACACAAAGAGTGTATGCACCTGCGCCATTGCAAACGATTTTGAGCCATGTCATTCAGGGTCTCTAACCATCGGTTGCTATCATCTCGCTGTCCCCAACCAGGTAGTCTACACCTACCAATATGACTCAGTCCACTTGTCAGTGACTTCATGGACTTGTGCCGTGTTTTGGTCTGGCCACCCCTAGCTTTCTTCCAACGTGCTCCTATACCACTGCTGACTGTAGAGGGGTGTGGCAGCAGTAAGGTGTTTCCCTCGGACAACCAGCATGACAGCGATGCTGCCCTCCCACAAGGAGGGGTGGGGTTAGAAAAGGTCGACCTTAAAAACGTCACACCTCACCTTACCTCACGGATTTCCGTCTCCGGCGGTAAGGCCCTTTGAAGAACGGAGCTAACACATTAAAAACCTTCCATGAAAAGGCCGTGCGCGACCGGCCACAAGCAGTTGTCCCTTGGGCACTGCGGTCACGCTCCCAGGTCGTTAAGACCAACACTAATCTAATTTCTTTTTCAGGTTCCTCAAGAAATACCCTTCCACGGTATGGGCAGCCGGGAAGTGATATCAGCCCTCATACCCGTAACAGCACACGAGAACAAGTTGGTCACTGAAAACAATTATAAGTATAACAAATACTTGATAACAACTGCTAAGGTACACTGGGAAAAAAACACGTTATCTTAACCTAAATTTCATAATCTAACACTATGATATACAACAGTTTGTATTGTAATAGTAGGTTTTACCTGGTAATAAACCATTGATCTAATTTTTACTCTAGTACTGAGTAAGAGTAGATGTTTGCCTGGTTACAGCTACTGCAGTTGGTCGTATTCTTGGTTTAATTGATCACCATTCCTGAACCTCTGTCCACTTACTTACCATAGTAAATTATTATTCACCAATCATGAAGTAGCCTTATTAACTAATATATCTGTAATGCAAGGGTGAAATAAAACTATGAAAAACTGTGACTTAAATCCACGTTTTGCTTTGAAAACGTTTAAGAGCTATTTAGCCAAATTTCATACATATGACTGTTGATCATGATTCATTCAAATACTACTCATTCCTCCACTAAGAACAACGGCAATGTTACTTTAAAATTTAGCCGTAACCTGATTTTCTAAATTTCAAACAACTAAAAAGGTTGACTTAAGATGAAAAACACTTTGGTTAAATTTAAATGCACTAATAACCCACAAACTTATCGTTTATGTTTAAGAAAATGACAAACTTCAAAGTGATTATTTTCAAGTTTTTTTTTAATAAAGTGTTCAAGCTTTTATGACACGAAACCACGTCCACGCGGTGAGTTCGTGAGCCTCGGAAAGCAGATTATAATCCAGATAAACCAATCGGCTTTACGGAGTGAGGTTTCACCAACCTTAAATGGTTGGAACACCACATAACACCGATATATTCGACTGACGATAGTTTCAGGGAATCAAGTATTCTATTTTGAAACAGAGTTTTAGTACCAGATATGAAATTAGACGGCAAAGATCCAAACAGTTTAACTACATTTTATATAGCGATAAATAATGACCAACGATAAGGATTTCCATAATGAAAATTGTGAAATTTATTTATTATGCTTTGCATGGAAGAATATAGACCATACTGGTATATATATACCGTGCACCACACTATTCCCTGGAACAAAGTGGTCATTGTAGACATGGCACGAGATCTAAGGTAAGGGCTATAATAGAAATTATTTGTTCTTACTTGGTATTCTGCACAGTTTAAAAAACTCTCCTATTACCTTAAGAAGAAGCAGAATTGGAATCTTTCAATTTCAGTTTTTGTACCTTATCATTGTGATGAAAGCATGTATGTATGGCTCTTTCTACCTTACTAGTCAAGGAAAAACTTGTCGTCATTATTTCGAAATGATTTGTTCACTATGTAATTAGAGGGAACCCATTTAACTGTAAGTTCACCTAGATTTAAGAAGTATGCCCATTTCATTCTCTCTGATGAATTTGCTTTAAGATTTTGTGGTTGTCAAATTTTATAATGGAAAACCACAAAACTGGAGAGTAGTTTATACACTAGTACCATTGGTACTTATTTAATTTATGTTTATTCAAGTTTTCTAGATTTTTAACAACTTTTCATAAGTCTACTTTAATTTATTGTCTGAAATAATAATTTTCAACATATGCTTTCTCATCATTTACAGCATTTAGTGGTAGAGTGCATAATTTAAGCATGATTCGATCAAAAGATTCACAGAAGATCTTTGTTCTTCTTGCTGTTAGTAATGATACCAATAAAACTGCTGAGGCTGTATACCAGTACGAAATACCAGCTGAAATTGGAAGTAGTAAGTTAAATAGAGTAATCTGTGAGTAGGCTATTTTTACAAATAATACAACTTTCACTTCGTGAAATAGAATATTTATTTATAGAGAATTTTTATAAGAAACAAAAATGAACGGTATTTGCACTTTGTCCTGGTGAAATGTAGGGATTGAAATCTATTTTCTATACTCTGTGGTTATCAATTTCTTCAGTCTACTTGATTGTTTAATGAATACTTTTCTGAGTCTTAAATTAACCTTAAGACAAACTCGAATTTAAAGTCAGTTAAAAAAATGTTGATTGTTATTTCCACTTTGTTTAGATCTGGTAAAGTTGAACCATAATAATTAACCGACCTAATATATTCAATCCAATTATTCATGAATGCATTGAATGTCAATACGTGTAGTTAATCTTGAAAAATATCTCATTTCCGTACAATTTGATGTTACTTCCTTTATTAACGTTTTAAAGTGCTTATTATATGCTTTTATTGACTGCTTGCAACTTGTGCTCTTCTAATAATTTTCTAGAAAGTAATTTTCATATAATGAATCTTAGAAAAAGTTCGTTATAATCAATAAATCAAGACTCATATTCCAAACTGTATTTTAGAATCTAATCTTATCTAAAAGTTCTATAGTACTCTGATCATTATTTTGACTACTTTTACAATAATTCATTTTACTCTATTTAAGTTCAGTGAAAGAGGTTTTTATTTTTTTTAAAAAATCAATTTTAAGAATTTGAGAAATGTAAATTAATGTAAACTGATGTTAGACACTATCACCATTGGATGCCGGCTCAGTGGTCCAGTAGGTTAAGCGTTCGCGCGCGAGACCGAAGGCCCTGGGTTCGAATCGCGCGAGCGGGATCGTGGATGCGCACTGTTGAGGAGTCCCACAATAGGACGAAATGGCTGTCCAGGGCTTTCAGGTTACCAAAGGTAGTCTAACATCAAACGGTTCATGATCTCAATCAAAAATAAATTAAATTTATTATATTGGTTTTAATTGAATTTTATGATATAAATTATTTAATTAATTATCAACCTTATCAGGAAAGATTTGGACTCCCTTCATATAATATTTCTGTCGATCATTAAATTACATGGTTCTCATGAATGTCTTATTAAGGATCAAATATAGTTTTTGAAAAAAAACTTACTCATATACCCATTCATTTCTCCTTTGTTGAATAATGCCAAATCTATCATAATATGATATTTTTCAATAACTTTCTGTTTGATTTTTAGATAATGAATTAGACTATGTTGATAATTATCGAAAACTAAATGAAGATAAAATTAAGCTTATCAAATGGAATTTTCAAAGACCGAAGGTTGGTGTCTGCTATTGGCCATCAAATGATGTTTATGAATCAACATCACCATTGTTAATTGCAGCTGATTCTCAATATCATAGATTGGAAATATTTTGCATCGATGAATCACAAAAGGTAGTTGATAGTGAGTTATAAGCTATATCAATAATATGAAAGTTGTCGGTCGGAATTATTGAACGCTTGCAAATATTTAGTCTGATTCAGAATAACTACTTAAGTATTATTTCTGCGACACATAATGATTAGCAACGATTTTATATCTTCATGTTCATTAAAAATCACTATAACTCAAGTTTACTATCTAAGCAGGTCACAAATGTTGTAAACACTACCGGTTTTATTTTTAAGCATTATGATTACAGTATGCAGATTCATAAAATGTTTAAAAATTTAGAACGGAAAAATCATATTCACTTGGTGTTGTTTACTTGTATTTTCCCATTGTTATTTAGGACTGCAATTGATCAGTCTCTTATTGGCATATGTGCATCCTGAGCGAACTGCCTCGATTTTGCCTCAGGTCACAAGCTTTATAAGCAAAGATGGATAGTGGCTAGCAATGGAATCCAAGACGCGTGTTCCTCCCTATTTGGGACTCGTCAGCTGGATGCCTATAACGTGGCAATTAACTTTATCAGTCGAATCATAAATGTGTTAAACGGGATTATAAATTGAAATCAATCAATTATTTATACTCTTCTAAAAGATATACAGAAGAGAATTTATAACATTTAAAAAATATGGTTTATAATAAATATTACACTATTTCCTTAAAGTAAATTTTTCTCCAAAAAATACATTTGAATTACATACATGTTGAATTACCAAATTTTAAAATCAGAAATATTGTAATTTACTGTTACAGATATTTCCTCCATTGAATAATTAGTTTGCACGTTTTCATTTGTTTTCTTTACTAGAAACAAAATCTACTACATATTGCCACAGAGTACACTTATGACATTTTACAAGAATCAAGAAGCATCAAATTTACAAGAATATCTGGTACTAATTCATTACTAGCTTATTCTATGGATGGATCAGTTCAAATTATTAGTATAAATGAAACTGTAAGATAATTATTTCATATTATCTTGACCTTTATTCACAACTACCAAAAAATAGAAGATTTAGTAAGCAATTTTTGATATTAAGTGGGGGTGGAATAGAGGATGCGAATTCAATCTTATTTCGGTTTCATCGGCTGAATATACTTACTTCCGAATTTTGATGTTCATACCAGGATTTAATTCCAATACTTATCGTTTCAAATGCTCAACGTGTTTTTCACTTGGTTACTGAGTTCTTATGGTCGCTGGCTTGTAAAACGGGGATGAACTTTGTTTTATTTTTAAGGGCTTGAATCCTTTTGTTGTTGATGTAACTAACTGTTTTGGCGTATGCGCATCATGAGCGGATTTCCTCAGTAATGCCATCAGTTGAGTCAGTCCCACAGTATCGTGGCTTAATCGAGGTTAGACAATAACACCGTTACATGTCGGCTCACTGATTTAGAGGTTAAGCGTCCCCTCGTGAGACTGGAGGTTTCGGCCCTCATTTTCACGTACAGCATAGTGGATGCACACTGTTTAGGGGTTTCATGCTACAACGAGACAACCGGTCAGTGCTTTCGGGTCTTCACTGGTGGTTTAACATCAATCGGTTTATGATTTCAATGAAGCCCAGCAATCTCCACAACCCTATACTGATAAATATAATTATATTAATACATTTTCGATAAGCGACGCCCAATCAATTTCATCATAGATCTATAAAGTATTTTGTGTATTTTTTCACTTAGCACATATTGTGTAGTAAACTAATTCGTACTGCTTGAAAATATTATAGAAGCAAGGCGGATATCAGCTACAAGTTCTCCAGAAATATTATTCAGTAACCAACAGGATAAATAACTGTCATGTGCTACACAGGTCAGACCACCAACTACCTTAAACAACTTTTTTTCAACACCTACAGTGTGTCTACTCACTTTTAAAGTTTTCTCTTACTGAACTGGTTAGTTTTACCACATCGCTCCACCAAACCCCTTATGAAAGTGCACTTTGTTCTGTTCATATTGTTTTCCATTCATGTTTACAAGGTTTCACTTCAGTGTTCCATAAATATTCATGAATCTAATTCACGTGGTATAATCGCTGCAGAATTCTGTAAAGATTTGAATAGTTTAATCACATGTGGTGGAGATGGTTTATTAGCCAGAGTTAAAATAAGGTAAGTTTTGGCAATCAAGACTTTATATTTATTTTGTTTACCTAAATGATCTTTCATATGATGAATTTACTCTTACACCGCTCATAACGAATCTATTTTCGTATAATATATGATTTTTTATACAATGTAACCATTAAGTAAGGAATAAATTTAAACAAATGAATTTTATACTAACAAGTTGGGTGTTCCATGATTCAGCTCATTTCATTCATTTAATGATTTGAAAGACTAATCAAATATGATATATAATCCAAATTAGTTTCGTTAAATGTTTTATAAACACTTAGATATAAAATAATATCTTCAAAAAACTACCGTCTGTTAATGTTACTAATATGTTTACCTATTATCAATGCCGAAGCCTTCAGTCCAGTTATTATCAACCTAAATGCTATTGACATCACCATTTAATGGTATTAAAATTAGGGAGCTCAGTTTCTGTTTCTACACGCATGGGTAGAAATTCATCTGTTTCCTTAACGATAACATTATTGCGGTCTAAGTGTTCATTCAGAAATAATGATCATCTATAATAATTTTTGATATCGCATCCATCTTAGATGTCTTAGTTGATTTTGATGGTCAATTTTTTTCCAACTAATATTGAAACTAATTAGTTTCATATCAGTATGAAGTTTTTTATCGTATAACTGACGGATTTTGAAAGTGTTAACTTACATCATAGACCATATAATTTTGGACATAGAAGCTGCACCTCTCGACCAAAACCTATCTGGATACTGAATTTATCCTTCTACAACCATTTATTACTTTTTCTTCCCTTGGTTTTCACAGATATTTTAACGATCTTCCAAGTGCGTTTGATACAAAGAACTATGAACTAGTTGAATTTTCAGAAATGCTTTATGAAAGGAAGATGTGTATTACTTTTATTATGCTCTCTGAGGCTACCTTAATGGATGAAATAAATTCATGAAAACACTTTTCTGCATGTTATATGGAAAATAAATATATGATTAATTAATCATAGCCTATTACTATAACAAAATAGTTAATAAACAACCTAAATTAAATGTTTAGTGAATGTTCACTATATTTTTATCCATAATTGAGTAAAACGTTTTGAGGATACAAAATTTAACAATACATATTTTCACTAGTTGAAATCATGAGTCAATTGAAGCTAGAACACCATGGAAAACCTAAAAGCACTGGACGGACATTTTATCATAGTATGAGACTCCTCTGCAGTGCGCAGCCACGATCCCGCCACCCGCGAGATCCGAACCCAGGATCTATCAGTCTCGCGCGCGAACGCTTAACCATCAGATCACAGAGCCGGCATCCAACGGTGTTAATGTCTATACTCAACCAATCCACGAAATTGCGCCACCGTACACCATTGTCTACAGTGAGTTGACATCTCACAACAGACCTGGTTGAACTCCACTGGTCACTGCTTCTAACTAGAACTTCAGGAAATGCCTCTTGGAGTCAGTCACCAATGAGCAGATGATTATTATGAGAAGGGGTTTTGTGGAGAATTTAGAAGTTTGGATTGGTTGAAGTTAGACATTAACACCATTGGATGCCGTCTCTGTGGTCTAATGGTCAAGTGCTCGCGCGCGAGACTTGTAGGTCCTGGGTTCGAATCTCGCAGGTGGCGGGATCGTGGATGCGTACTGTAGAGGAGTCCCATACTATGATGAAACGCCCGTCCAGTGTTCTCAGGTTTTCCATGGCGTTCTAGCTTCAATTGACTCATGATTTCAACTACTGAATTTTTTAAATTCTCCACAAAACCCCTTCTCATAACATTTATTTTGTGACTCGAGTAAGATCACATTTGGATATTTCATTGTATAGTTTCTTTTTATGTAAAGACTCAATCCGGCATTTTCATCATCACTCTTTAAATTTTTAATTTTCTTGAATATTTTGTATTACAGTGAAAGTACAATTACGGAATCGAAAGTCGGTTCATTTCCAAGTTTAAGATCGTTACATGAACAACTAACTAAATTAAAAGAAATGAAAAGTTGTGAGATAACACAAAATCAATCACATTCAAACGTTAATCTTTTACAAAATCCTGATGTTTTACCAACATTACCCCATCAATCTGGTACAAGCTTTTCATTATTTGATCAACAAATATTGGTAGATGCTGATGAAGATACAGATTTGGAAGAGTTTTCCTATTATAAAAGAGATACTGACTCAAATATTAACACATGGATAGAATCTTGCCAGCTTAATGCTGAAGCTTCAGAAGACTTGATTTTTGGAGAAACAAAGACAAGCATTCTTAATGAATTGAATGAAATCAGAAATATAGTAAGATTTGTTATATATATACCACGTATCAGCTTTAAGATTATTTGGACTAACGAAATAAGAATTTCTAATCCTCATAGTGATTTTTCTTTAAAAATTAATTTTACTTAAATATTCATTTCAATAGGGAGAAATTTAGTGTTTGCTTTATTCAATAATATGGAATACTGATGACCACCCGCAAAACCTGTTTGAACTGAAATTTGCAAAAGTTCTGATAATTATTACTTATTACTGTAACTCGTTAGTGAAATGTAGATTTATAATTTTTAACATAGATTACTATGATTTCAAGTTTCCTGACTATTGATACTTTTTTTATGAAACACAAAATAGGTCAATGCTATGGTCAGTGAAAACGAAAGTCTTCCTGAGTTTCAACGTATTGGCAGGTTAGAATTTGAGCTAGATATTGATGAACAAAGTGTCATTTTAGAAAAAACGAAGGAAGAGGTCAACCAGGTTAGTAGAAAAAGTATGCACGAAATTGTTTTAATTTATACTCATATTAATCTTTCTTATATATTAGTTTATTCATAGCAGTATAATTGGTGTTTACGAGGTTCTAGGTTAAGGGTAAGATAGAAGAACTAGATGAAACTAACAGAAAAATTACATTATGCTTTTTTAGTAATCACATTAGAAAGTGTAACATTATCAATTATCCAGAGCTATGTAACACTGTCTTTTGATTGTAAACTAAACACTAATACACCTGGATTGGTTTGGATTAGAGAATCGAAGTGTAAAAAACAATCATTGTTCATGATGTTAGTACAGAATTGTCCCTAAATCTTTTCACATACAAATATCTCTCTCACTTTCTCTCGATTTCAATCAAATATCCATTTATAATTCATGTTTTCATCTTCACATTAAATGTACTTATCTTTCTTTTATAAAAGCTTCGAAAAGAAATAAACTTAAGAAATTTAGCAAAACAATTTACTTGGCAAGTTATTAAATCTCAATGTTGGGATGAAATGTTTGTCAAGGGAAGATGCTTAAAAGCGTTCAATTTACCAATTCAAGTTACAAATTATCCATTAAAGAATATTACAAACAGTGAAAAACAATTAATTAATACTGTTATTGCTAGAATGAAAATTATTCATGCAACAGCAAAAGAAAGAGAATTACTATCTTCACATTTATTTCAATCAAATATATTAAAAAAGGTTAGTTTCATTAAATAGTTTTTTTGTAGTCATTAGGTTATATAAGGTAATTTTAATTGATAATCTGTAAAAAGAACGTCTTGTAAAATTTAATAATACTTTATGACACAAGTCATAATTTGGAAGGAGATTTCCCATTTTAGAATTTATTATAATCTACTTAATTTGTGTTTACTCATGAGAACTGGAGAAGCAAATGAAACATACGAAATTCATTGTTCTACTTATTATGAACATAGGATTCTATCCTTAATCCATCACTCATCTCTCAATCCATTTTAAATTATTATTGTTATAACTTTTAGGCAACCTTTTAAATTTATCCACATTTCACAGGTTTTTGAATATTCGACTTATACATCATTTTATAGATTTCAGTAATATACATTTGTTCGTTACAGTTATATTTAGTGTCAGTTTTTTTATGTAGTCTATTTAGTTTAGATGCTTTATGTCATAACCGCATCAGGTCATAAAGCGAATGAGGTTGTACGCATATCTCGTATTCAGTCTATCTATAGTAGATCATTTTCGATCAGTCTTTCTTTTGACCTGCATTATCATATGATAAATTACTGAAACTACCGTATTTTGTCCGGTTAAAACTAACTAAAACTAGCATTCAATGTAGCCAAAAATAAATGTCTTCCCGATGTGGATTCTTCTACTTCTTACTTTCTGCAGCGGTCGTCTAATGGAAGTTCATGAATTCCTAGTAAACGAATGCCAATCACGAAAGCAGAAATAGCATTGACCCTAACAAATGCATGAATTCTTCTAAGTAGCTAGATTAAAACATAAGAATGGGCAATCAATAGTGTAGATAACAAACAAGCAGTAGTGGAAATTTAGAATGATTAGTAAAATGCATTTTGTTTAGTTTTTAATAGGCTACCTCGAAAATACTTGTTTTTAGTATTCGTTGACATATGCTAATTTGAATTATTGTTCAGAAGACTCTTAAGGTTTGGCATTCTAGATCCCATTTCACATATATGTCATCTGGTAGCAGATAATATTACCTGACCATGCACGACAAAATAATTGAGTTTTTAGAAAAGAGGATAAGTATATAATTCAATAGCCGGTTTTATATTGTACACTTAATCCTACGAAATTAGTAAGTTAACTCAATACGACCAGTCACTGATTAATTTCGTAACCGGTTCTACTCCCCTAAAGTCTATTGCAAATCTGATTAGTATTTAGTATGAATAACACCGTAAAAATTACAGTACCAAAATATGGCTTCTGGTTTATTTTCGGTGTCAAATAAATCTGCCAGTCTACTTCTTTCATTTGCGAGTAATGGTATTTGTCCTTTCGTAGTTTCTATACAGAAGACTACATAATGATCAATCAAAGGAAACCCGTTTAATTATGCTGTTTTCGGGAAGTTCGTGTTCTCACCATAATACATTATTAAACAAAATTTGACTTTTAACAAAAACACATTTTCGTTTAATGAACATTACATGATCACACGCAGAGTGAAGTAAAGACCCTTTAGTTAATAAATACATATCTAGCTCCTGATCATAGGTTATAATGTTAACCGATAAACTGAATATCACCAAAAAGCTATCAAAAAATAAATTTAATGATTTTATTTCTTTACCTACATTAACTGAAGCCCAGTCAAGAACAAAAGGAAGAAGTAGATGATGAAGAGGAAACAGAGCAATCAATAAATCGGATTCTTCTTGGAAGTACTGGTACGTGTGAATTCCAAGTAGATAGGTTTCTACCGAGATAACTCTACATTCTGGGTTTATAGTTTTAAAAAAATATTTTCAATGCTAATATTTACTCGTTTAATGTGTTAAAAAATCAAACAACATGAAAATCTAAATCACCTTACATTAATGTCAGAAATTGGTGATTATGTTTGAAATTTAGTTGAATAGTTCACTTATATTTTATTCATGAAACAAGAACTGTTGTTTAAATGAAAGTGTTCAAAAGTGTTTCATTATCTCACCTTTTTTTAAACTTACATCATTTAAGATACTATTTGCGGAAAATTGAAATGTTTACAATATACAGAAAAAGCCTAATGCTGCTTATATATAAAGACAAATTTCATCAGCAATTATAAAATTAACTAGGATTTGAAGTAACAAAAATCCATAGTCTTATATTTTTGCCAGAGTATTGGTCTACGGTCACAAGTCTTTGTTCTGTTCGCATACTAAGTGAACTCGTAATAGCTTCAAACCTAGTAAATTTGGCGACAGTGACGGGATTCGAACTCACGCGGAGAAACCCCAATGGGTTAGCTTGTGACTGTAGACCAACAATCTAGCTATTTGATGTATCCCCGCCCCGCTAACTAGACGAAGAAGTCCAAGCTTGGAACGGGAAAGTATATTCCGTAAGCTAGAAGCACTAGTGAATAATAGCAGACACAAACCAAACGTATATATACAGCATAAAACTGTCCTTGAGAGGTGTAGCGAAAATAGCATACTAAAAATACACAACGGAACAATAGCGTTAAAGATTCTCCCAAGTGGGAAATACGACACGAAGGTGAAAAGTGAGACTTTGGCGCGAAAACAAGGAGATTTAAACTTCCAAAATAAAATTATAAAATTAAGGCATTTACCAAGTGAGTTCTGGGGATCTAACATCCCCAACACCTCCCCCTTTTAATAACGTAAGTGCATTTAATGCTTGGTTGGACAGCATCAATGCAACTCCTTGTGCATGTGTAGCATTTTCTTCTTCATGGCCGGAGTATAACAGAAGCTCCCCTGAAGCTAGTCGTTGTTGTCCGACTTGCGTCCAGTGTGTTTCACTGATTCCGAGCACCTCCAGCGTGTATCTCCTCATTTCTGAAGCAATTTGGAAGACTCTCCCGGTCTCTCACATTGTATGAGCATTCCATGTACCTAAATAAATGGTTGCTCTGGCTGTCAGAAGGGGCATTAGCCTCGTGACTTCTGAAGGAACTCGGCTTTCATCATGAGGCGTCATAACTCTTCTAAAAGGAGACCTTCTGACTCCCAGGACAGAGTTTAAAAGGTTTGGATAATTTCTTCTGGTTGGTGTTTTCTTGGCGAGTTAGTTTTCTAAGGGATAGGGTCACTAAGCCCATGCCCAACCCTCCTCCTTTATCCGGGCTTGGTACCGGCTGAAGCCCTCGGAGGGACTCCAGGCAGAGTTCATACTAGTCAACACCAACATTAACGATTTGATTTGAATTTCAATGGTTGAAATCATGAGTCACTTGAAGCTAGAACGCCATGGAAGACCTGAGAACACTGGACGGGCGTTTCATCATAGTATGGGACTCCTCTACAGTACGCATCCACGATCCCGCCACCTGCGAGATTCGAACCCAGGACCTACAAGTCTCGCGCGCGAGCACTTGACCATTAGACCACAGAGACGGCATCCAATGGTGTTAATGTCTAACTTCAACCAATCCAAACTTCTAAATTCTCCACAAAACCCCTTCTCATAATAATCATCTGCTCATTGGTGACTGACTCCAAGAGGCATTTCCTGAAGTTCTAGTTAGAAGCAGTGACCAGTGGAGTTCAACCAGGTCTGTTGTGAGATGTCAACTCACTGTAGACAATGGTGTACGGTGGCGCAATTTCGTGGATTGGTTGAGTATAGACATTAACACCGTTGGATGCCGGCTCTGTGATCTGATGGTTAAGCGTTCGCGCGCGAGACTGATAGATCCTGGGTTCGGATCTCGCGGGTGGCGGGATCGTGGCTGCGTACTGTAGAGGAATCTCATACTATGATAAAATGTCCGTCCAGTGCTTTTAGGTTTTCCATGGCGTTCTAGCTTCAATTGACTCATGATTTCAACTATTGAAATTTCTAAAATCTCCACAAAACCCCTTCTGATTTGATTTGAGTTTATTTGACAAACAACAATTCTTTACTTACATGTTACAATTTTAAACGATGTACTCTGCCTTAAATCTAGTCAATTTTATGGATTATTAATTTGAATTTATAGTTGTAGAGCCTGATGAAAAATTATTGAAAAGAATATTTTTCGTTCATGCAATTGTGTTTTAAATATAACTTATTTCAGTAATTAACATTGTACACCTCTTATTACTTAGGAAAAATGAACGCAAATTTTAGTCCATTCTTCTAGTTATTTGACTATCTTGTTTTACTCACTTAACCCTAATTTGAAAAACGTATCAATACCGAATCTAGTGTATTTAATCTGTCCGACTGATCAATAAACACTGTAGTTGCTGATTTCTAAATCCTTGAGTAGCATAGATCACTCTTGATAGCAAATTTAGTATTAATTATTAATAAGGTTAGAAAATTTATGCTTCTAAGATAACACATAACTACCTTGAATAATAACAGAGATCTGGATGTTTCCCTTAAATGATTTTCACTTTTACTCCTAGCGAAACATTTGAAAATAATTAATATTACTAACTGGCATGGTAGTTTCATTTGCAAACTGGATTTTATTTTTAATTTGATTATCATTGTTTAAATTTTAGCCAGAGAACAAGGTGGATCGATTGATCATGGTTATGGTCAAATGGAACTTTATACACGAATGCAAAAGATTTATCAAATTGTTTTGATAAAAGTAAGTATAAACACCAATGAACTAGTATCAGAAGGGATTGCGCACTGCTACGGAGTACCACAATAGAGTGGAACGGCAGTCCAGTGCTTCCAGGTTTTCCATGGTGGTCTAACTTCAATTGACTTGTGATCTCAACCAATGAATTACTTAAATTCACGTCTAGAGATATTTAGTTTTATCTAAATATCAAAAATAAACTTGAAACTTTATTAATTCTGTAAATAAATAATTTTTTATTTGTATTTCATTGTTTGTACAAGTTGAAAGTGGTCAATTCTGTTTATGGGAATTATAGAACGGTATATAATCTAAGCAACTTTTGATATCTTAACCCGAAAGTCATTTTTCATAGTTTAAGGTGGACTTTATGCGAGCCAGTTCTTGTACTGACTCTCTTGTTCTGAATCATCCATATAGATTATAGAAATTCGGTAGTCATTCTGTCAAAAAGTATGCTTGAAGTTAAAGACATGTGCATGTTTTCAGTGAACTTATTTTCCAGTTTAAAAAATGTTTGGATTAAAAATTTAACGATTCCTTTTGTAAAATATTTATCATAACTTTTTTGTAATAAATATTGAATTTTCAGTTGCATTATGGGTTCAACATGTGACTACAGAATACAATTGAAATAATGAGTCATTGCAAACTATCAAATATGGATAAACTTCTAATATTTCGGCCGATTTTATTGTCCATCTATCTAATAAAATATATCGCTTTATCCTTCGAGCTCCTTAGTTATTCTGTAAAATAGCACTTGGTATCCATATATCTAGAAATTAGACTAGCTTTATACCATATTAGATCATCAAAATAAGTCGATTGATAACATACACTTTGAGGTTCCGAAATTAATTACAGTGTAATGGATTCACTTTGAGATAATCATCAAAATCCTATGTACTATGACTTACATAGTGTTAAGACAAAGTTTGAAATTTTCTTAAGTATTGTTTCAAAATGAATATAAAAATCTAATGAAGGATAATCTAGGATTTTCTTCAACAACCTAAAGATTTAAATAACTGGTTGACTGAGCAACCAAATTCATTTAAATAATGATTTGTATCACTCATACATATCTAAATTGATATTCAAACGGTAGATAGGCACTTGTGTTTTTAATAGTTACATTTGATTAATTTCTGATTTGTAAAAATAATTTATCTAACTACATGAATCTTTTTAATTATAAACATTTAAAATTAACGACAAACTTTTAGGATGCAATTTATCGTATGAAAGAATCTTTCAACAAACAGTTCGATGAATTCTATGAAAAGAAGGCAAGTCACCTTTCTAACATTCAAACTAAATTATCAAGAATACGTAAAATTCATACGGATCTTCAACAACCACATTTAATAAAACATCTCACTAGTCCGAAATTCGATCCCGACGAAGAGCCAGAACAGCTATTTATTGTTACAGATGATGAGATAACAGTGGAAAAGTATTTTTCACCTGAGCAGTTAGCTGAAATTCAATTGAAACGATTAGCTGACGAAGAAAGACGACGTAAGGAAAAGTTGGATAATTGGCGTGAAAAAGGTTTGGAGGAAATGATGGGTGGTGTGTTAGAGATTACAAAAGAAGATGAATTGAAAAAGGATATCCCAAAACCAGCTTTTTTATTAACTGGTAAACCATCAGTTCATTGGACGGAAGATGATAAACAAATGTATGCAGAGTATGAGCGTAAAGTAAAAGAATTAAATGAAGAAAGAGAAAAATATAGAAAGGTTGGATTGTCTTTTACATTAATGTGCAAAATGAAACGCAATTCAATAAAACTATAATATATCAGTTTCATGAAATCAAAATTTATAGATGATATATGGTTGGAAATAGTCGGTGGGATGCTCCATACCTAGGTTTCATGCCAGTTGACATTAGTCAGTAATACATACCTATGATTGCCGGAGGATTCTAACCAGTTACGTAGCTTGATAGTTTTGGACGCTATCGCTGAGCTTTTCGGGCAATGACTGATTCTCTTTAGGACTGAAGTATTTGCAGTTCATTGGTAGCTGAATAGCGTCTAGTTCCATGTATTTCTAATTTTTTAGTGCTATTTGGCTTCTGTCGATCAAGTTGCAATGTGGTCATTGGCTTATGTAACTTACATCTTGTGTACTATGTTCCGATGGTAGTTGGCCACGTTGTTACGGGATTGACAGAGAACTAGACAATTATGATTTTGCCCCTACGTGGTTGCGGATTAGTCAAAATTTATAGTCGCTGTCGCAATCCTCTTGTTATCCCAGAGTTCGTGTTATTTATTCTCCTTTCTTTCTTCCTACCTCCCTGCATGTTAAAGCTTTAATTACAGGGATAACAAGTCATAGTGCTTTTGTGCTCTATTTAGCTGAAATGAATAAAACTTGCATCAATAATTCTCTTGCCAATCACTGTCATTGTGTATACTAGTAACAAACTTTTTAATTAAATATGCTTAGATAATTATTCATCTTTCTATAAACTTTTCAAAATGATGACATTAATTACCAATAGGGTTGTGGTGTGAGCTCCTTATATCCACATAAGTAGTATATAACGATGGTCAGGTATAGAAAGTATTTCAGTAGAAGATCGAGGTATGAAAATGTATGAACAATGAAATCTGAGGCAATGGACTGATATTTGCAAAAGAAACAGTCAAGTTTGAGACGTGGATTGATATTTTACAGATTAACTATTTACTATGTGGTTCTCAGATTTTAGTGAGATGCTCTGTAATGTCGTGTCGGGTACATTCAATTGTCCCACTCATGTTCTTTTTCACCTCAGGCTAATACTATGATTTCATTATTAATTCCACTTACCTTTACCAAAATGTTTAGTATCCAATGTTTTATGACATGGTTTCTTGTATGTAAAAAATAGTAAGATAAAATAACATAATAATTGAATTCATGAGTCAATTGAAGCTAGACCGCCACGGAAAACCTGGAAAAGTGGTGGATGGTGACGCAGTTTCGTGGATCGGTTGAAGTTAGACATTAACACCGTTGGATGCCTGCTCTGTGGTCTGATGGTTAAGCGCTCGCGCGCGAGACTGATAGATCCTGGGTTCGAGTGTCGCTGGGTGGGGGATCGTGGATGCGTACTGTAGAGGAGTCCTATACTGGAACGAAACGGCCGTCCAATGCTTTTAGGTTTTCCATGGTGTTCCAGCTTCAATTGACTTATGTATTCAATTATTAAGGTACTACAATCTCCACAAACCCCCCCTCTAAAAATAATATGTTACTATTTCTTTGCTAACTTTACCGAATCCCTCGGCATACACAAAATAATGTGATTGAACAAAGAGTAGAATTTATTTTATCCTAATGATGAATAAAATAATTATCCATAGTACGGCAATTATAAATCACATTATTGTCATACAGACAAATCAGTATCAATTATTCATAGTGATTATAAATTCATTTATTCAATATTTCGTTTTACAATTTGTACATGTGCATATCTAATTGTTTTTTCTCCTTCTAAGTATTCCTAATAATTATCTATTGAATTTTTACACAAAAATCGGATACTGTCCACAAGTGCTTGGCTATAAATATCTATCAAACAATACTGTCTTTTATCAACAATATGAAATTTCTCGAAAGATTGTCATGTCATCTATATAATTAGTTTCAATAGATATTATTGACTAGTCTAACTTTTCTTCTAGAAACGCAAAATGAACATTGTAGTGGTTTAGCCTCGAGATAATTCGTTAAGCTTCATTTATTAATCACCGTGATAACTGTTATTACATAAATCCCAACGGTGTTTGAATTCAGAAGGCAATAAAGAGCGGCGATTACAATCTATTCTTGGACAACACAGATAACCAAGTTACAAGCAAATCGAGGAAACTGGAGCACAGAGGCAAATGTGTACGAACAAGAGAATACACAGGTGCATTTACATTCAAATGAAATCAAGGCAAAGCAAAACAGGGCAATTATTAAGATTCAAGTATATATATATGGGACGGAGAATGATTCATCAAGCGATATTTAAAGTGAATAACATTTGAGGTAGGGTGAGGAATATGTGCGTAGACTGTCACATGTGATCAAGTATATGCGTTTATACAGACATGATAGTGATCATAATAATACAAAGAAATAGACGAATTGTTACTGTTCGAATAACACTGTCCGTCAAATAAGTTAATAAAAGGGTTTGACAAAATTAACCGTGATCGAAATAAATCGTAGGTGTGTTGCTATAACATCAGTTCAATGTTACCCACAATGGAACATGATTAGCATATTCTTCTAGAAAATTTATAGCAATCATACTAACTAGATCATATGTAATAGAAATAGTTGTTGAATAAACTTCCTGATATTCTACTAATATCATTCAATTTAAACGAGACTATTATAATAACTGTTTGACCTACTATCTGTTATGAGCATAATATCATCTTACAATACTAAATGATCGCTTTTTTTTTCGAAACATAATTTAAAATATTTTATTCATAAAGTAATTTAATACTTTTTTTAATGAAGTTTTTAGAAGGTGATTTAAAAAAGATTAACAATGAAATAGATGAAATTAAAGAAAAATTTGATGAGGAGCTAACTTCTCTATTTAATAAATGGCTACATGTTCAAGTGGCTATATTACAAGAAGAATTAAAAATATGGAGGCTTAAATGGATGTTACTTATTGAAGAGGAATTTATTAATAGAGAATATGAATTAAAACAATCAATTAATGAATTATATAAGAAGGAAGTACAAGTAAGCTTTTCAGTATTAATTTCTTTAAGTGATATAAAATAAAATGAACTCTCAAATAAATATGAATAATTGTTTTCTTAAAAAGCTGAAGATCATTGGTCAATTTTATTTTATTCTATCAAAAACACATTATGGTACTATTTTTGGTGGTTTACTTAAATTTATAGACTACTTATCTCCTAGTTGCATATATATTACAAAGGATTTTTCTTTTTTTTTTATCTGTTTTAATTGAGGAATTATGTACATTGACTTCGTGTTGTATTCATCCGTTTTTTTCAAAAATTTTAAACCTTCCACACGATTAATCAAGGCAAAATTTGAGCGGAACCATTTTCTTTCGTTTCATAGAAGATTTGAGTAAAATTCATTCACCGAATGTATTATGTCATAAGAGGAAGGCTGATCGTAGATATTTTGGGATAAGAATGACAAATAGTCGCTTTTAAAAAGTTTGTTATACTATGCATATATATTATGTTCAGCAGTCATATCAATGTAAGAAAATTTCTGCCAAAATTACACATTTAGTTCTAAGAAATTATGTTGTAATCAATTATATTGTATCGGATAAAACGATTATTACCATTTTGTTAGTTCGAATTATTAGTTTTACTGAACATTCGAAAAATTGATTTTGATAATACAAATGGCTTCCTATATCAAGCAGTTAGTCTCAAAAATGACGGTTTTCTTTATTTTAGCAATTAACAACTTAATTCTGACTAAACCTCAAACTTTTTTTAAAATTTATGACTGATAAACAACTGGTAACTAGAATCGAAACAAATTCGCGAAGTAATCATGCGCTAACTACTTCATTTTAAAGTTTGTTACGATAATCTTTTAATCAGTTTGCATCGGTTGAACAACGAATTGTAATAGGTAATATATTGCAATATATTTGTGAATAAAATACCTGTAAGTTCATTTAATATCGAGCACGAGACCTTCAAGACTTCTGTAAAGCATATCTACTTGCTTTAACCAACTTTTGAAATACAGCTGCACAAAATATTGGCTTCAATAACCGTCATTTAGTAGTCCTAAATCATGTGATTTCTAATTCAGACGTCGAAAATTTTACTTACATGACCCATATTACTACTGAATTTGAAGCTTCGTCTGGTGATCAATGCAGAAGGAGATTAGACCAAATGAAAGACTCTAATCACCAAGACCTACACGAATTATCCAGCCTCCCATCTTTCCCAGTCTGAAACTGAAATGTTTGCTGTGATTGAAATGTATGAGAATTCCAAGAAGTTCCTTTTATAAGTATTTTCCTCTTTATTTATTCATTTGTTTATTAACAATAAATCTTAAAATTTCTAAAAAGTTTCTTTTTGTTTATTTGTTCATTGTTAGATTACCAAAAATTTAGAAACAGCCAAATCAATATTAAACCAAGTTCAAGAAGAAACTGAACTATTGTCTGCTGATGATAAATTAATGGAAAAAAATCTTCGAAAAGAATTCAGTGATATACATGGACCGTTATATGATTTTATTGTCAAAGCTTATAAGAAACGTCCAAAGTAAGCAACAAAAAAGCTACATTAGAAACTATTTATAACACAAATATTAAAATTGCACTTATTTACAAGACGTATTGACCTTAGTTAGACAGCCACTGAAAATCAGAAGCTCTGAACAGCTGTTTCATCCTAATAAGAGACTCAGGAGTATGTATCCACATCACGGTTAGAGGTCTAATGCAGAGCTCCAGGTCATTGGTCTAGAAGTTAACCACTCAAAACAAGACTTACAAATCAAGAGCTCAATCCCCCATGGGGATGTTGATGCAGACCCGTGAGTCTTACACTAGGATGAAACAGCTGTCTAATTTTTCCCAGTTTCCAATATCTTTTTAACTAAGATCACTATGTAATGTAAATTATGAGGATTCAGTAATCTCCAGAAGTTTCTACAGAAACATTGAAATGTGAAGTATTTTTACTGAGCTTATTTGTATTTGTATAAGACTAACGAATTTAATCCTAACGCGCTAAGACAATGATAAGATCGAAATTCATCTCAGATTAAACACAAAATGATAATTTTTTCATAACAGCCTGCAGAGAATTGATGGATGGTATGGTCAGTATTACCAACTGTAAAGACTAATTTTCAGTTGGTCATAAATTTTCTTTTTATTAACTATTGATCATTTGGTAGTGTATACATCACCTTTATACTGAAGTGAAAGCATATCATAATTAGAATAAACCCGATTAAACTATATACCATGATGGACTGATGACCTTTGAGCGGAAAAATATTTACTGCAACATGAAACTTTGAGCACTAACATTAAGTTTGGATACGAGAAAGTAAAACAAAATGGCTACAAAATATCCCCTGAATGTTAGTAGTCAGTCAGTCAGTAACAACGTAAAACTTCGTACGTACGTACATCAGTTCGATTTGCCACACCACATTAGCACAGAGATGCAGTGGTCGATTCAAATCCCGTAGTGCTAGATGTAGTAAAATTATGAGCTGTAATCAGAAAAATTAGAGTTTGAAGATGTTATTCAAGGAGTACAATCCAGTGAAATAAATTTGTAAGGAGAAAAAAGAACGGGACATGAAGAATTCAGAAGATTAGAATTTGGGAGAACACAAAGAGTGGATGCACCTGCGCCATTGCAAACGATTTTGAGCCATGTCATTCAGGGTCTCTAACCATCGGTTGCTATCATCTCGCGGTCCCCAACCAGGTAGTCTACACCTACCAACATGACTCAGTTCACTTGTCAGTGACTTCATGGACTTGTGCCATGTTTTGGTCTGGCCGCCCCTAGCTTTCTTCCAACCTACTCCTATACCACTGAACATCGCACGTCGAGGCAGTCGGTCGTTGGGCATACGTAACACGTGTCCAGCCATCTCAACTGATGAAGTTTCACTACTTCATCAATTGATTTGCCATCCTTACCTAGTACCCGTTTCCTAACAACTGTGTTACTTACTCGATGGTCCCATGATATACGAGCAATATTTCGAAGACACCTATGATCAAATACTAGTAACCTACGAATATCCTCTACTCTTACCGGCCATGTTTCACTGCCATAAAGTAGGACGGAACGAACTGCTGCGCAGTAAACACGTCCTTTGGTTGATAGACGGATATCTCGCCTACGCCATAAATGACGCAAGTTGGCAAAAGCTAGTCGAGCCTTCTGTATCCGTGCTGAGATTTCGTCACACACCAACCACAAGGGCTGATGAGACTTCCAAGATAAGTGAAGCGATCGACACACTCAACTACTTCACTCCCTATCATTAGTTCGGGTGTCGATGTAACCCAATCCTGAAGCAACATTTTGCATTTCGAGGGGGAGAATCGCATCCCGAACATGCTTGCATTGTTGCTTAGAGTGGTCAGAAGACTCTGCATTTTGTCAGCGTCTTCACCAAATAAAACTATGTCATCAGCATATTCTAAGTCAACAAGTGAACCTCCCGGTAGAAGTTCAACCCCTGTAAATTTAGATGAGGAGAGTGTTATCTCTAAAAGTACGTCAAAGTTGAACAAGAATGGGGAGAGTGGACAGCCCTGACGAACACCACTTGAGGTAATCAATTCTGATGACAGTTCGCCATAAGCTCTCACTCTACCAGTTGTGTTCGAGTAGAGAGCCTTTATAAGGTTAATGTACTTCTTTGGTACTCCTTTCAGTGACAAACACTGCCATAGAACCTCACGATCAACAGAGTCGAATGCCGCCTTAAGGTCGAGAAATACTACCATTGTGGGGCGTCTGAATGTGTGTCTGTGTTCTAGAACCTGACGTAGTGTGAATATCTGATCTATACAACCACGTCCAGGTCGAAAACCAGCCTGGTTTTCTCTAGTCTGCTCTTCACGAGCTTTGTTAGGCGTCGAAGTATTATTGAAGCTAATATTTTAGACACTATATTAGTCAAACTGATTCCTCTGTGATTGTCACAAGAGGACTTTTGTCCTTTCTTATAGACTGGCACAATCAGTGATTGAGACCAGTCAGATGGGATTACGTCCAGTTCCCAAATTCTACCTAAGACCTCAGTTAATCTCATTGCTAATACTGGACCACCATCCTTAAAAATCTCAGGAGTAAACCTGTCAGGGCCTGCTGCTCTCCCTCGTTTCAGATTTCCTATGGCTTTTTCAACTTCGTAAAGGACGGAGGACCTACATTAACTTGCCATTCAGGTTGACTGGAGATCGTGGGAAACCGAAGTGTGGCTGAAGGCCAGTTGAACTGATCCCTAAAGTGTTCTGCCCATCGATCCAATCTCCTGGATTGAGAATGAATAATATGTCCATCTTTCTCTGAGATTGTTTCGCTAACGGTCGGTTTCCTAATTCCGGTTTCCTTAACGAGTCTGAACAATTGTCTGCTATTACCTATTGCCGCTGCCTTTTCCATCTCTCTTGCTTTCGCTACCCACCACTGTTCACGATCATTGCGTAGACTTCTTGTCAGCTTGCGCTTAAGCTGACTCCGCTCTTCATTATGTTCAGAGCCAGGTGGAATGAGTTTCCGAGCATCTATCAGTGCGATAGATGCTGCTGAGATCCAGTGTTGCTCCCTAACCTTCTGGTTTACCTTACTAGCAGATATCACTGCTGTTTCCACAGCTTTTCGGATATCATTCCATGCTGCATCGGGGTGGGCATCACATACATGGCTGCCTAACTGTTTTCCTAGTTGTTCCTGAAATATACTCTTAGCTTGACTATCATTAAGTAGGGCCCTAAGAGGTTTCCTTGCAGCGTCTTTCCTACGTCCAGTAAGACGCAAGCAAATACGCGCTCGCACTAGAGCATGATCTGAATCTAGGCATGTGCTCCAGAATGAGCGACAGTCTTCTATCGAGCCCCTCCATCGGTGGCTGATAGCGATGTGATCTATTTGGGTCCAACGTTGGGACGAATTAGGGGGTCGCCATGTTAAAAGATGTTTTTCCTTATGCTTAAAGTTAGTATTTGCAAGGAACAGGCGGTTATCTGAGCATAGCTGCAACAGACGGTCGCCATTATCTGTTCTTTGAGCCACGACACCATAAGATCCACCTAGGTGTCTTTCCCTATCGCTTAGTTTACCTACTTGAGCATTAAAGTCACCGGCCACTATTACTACATCCGAGCGCTTAGCTTTTCGGAGAAGGTCGAAGAGCTTTCTGTAAAACTCATCTTTTACATCATCTGAGCTGCAGTCAGTGGGAGAATAGGCAGAGACGACGAAGAGGCAACGACGAGTGTCCCTATCTTTCCGGATTCTTACTGTTCCGTTCAGTCGGACAGCGCACAAACGACTGTCTACTGGGATCCACTCTAAGAGAGCTAGTTCTGCCCTAGGACTCAATGCTATACCTACGCCGGCGAGGCCACGGGAAGCAGAATCAGGGCTTCCAGATACACGAAGCGTAAATCGAGTCGGTTCTTTATTTTGGCATGGTGAGGTCAAATGAATGACGCTACTCGGATCCTGTATGCGCGTTTCGGAGACGCAGCACACATCGATGGCGCGAGATTCTAAAGTTAGCTAAGGAAGCCTGCTGTCCTATTTGGCACAGTGTTCGTACGTTAAAAGCTCCTACGTGTAGTTTAGAGCGTGGTTTCAGGAGACCAGGAATGGCGTTCCGCGTACTCGAATCGTTTGCCCTAGCGGTGCGAGGTGATAAAGAGACGTGAGGAGGGTTAGTCATGGAGATAAGAGAGGTATTAGGAGGTGTAGGAAGGATTTGAATGTGACCAACTTGGTCTCGTGTGCTGTTACGGGTATGAGGGCTGATGTCACTTCCCGGCTGCCCACACCGTGGAAGGGTATTTCTTGAGGAACCTGAAAAGGAAATTGGATTAGTGTTGGTCTTGACGACCTGGGAGCGTGACCGCAGAGCCCAAGGGACAACTGCTTGAGGCCGGTCGCGCACGGCCTTTTTGTGGAAGGTTTTTAACGTGTTAGCTCCGTTCTTCAAAGGGCCTTACCGCCGGAGACGGAAATCCGTGAGGTAAGGTGAGGTGTGACATTTTTAGGGTCGACCTTTTCTAACCCCACCCCTCCTTGTGGGAAGGCAGCATCGCTGTCATGCTGGTTGTCCGAGGGAAACACCTTACTGCTGTCACACCCCTCTACAGTCAGCAGTACGACTTCGCCCTCAGACCTTGAGTTGCTGCTTTTAGTCTTACCGTTCTCCAATCGACCTGCCTGGCATGGTAGAACCTACAGGAACATATGTTCCAGCCAATATAGCTCGGTTGGGTCATCACGATAGGCAAGCCCGACCACCGCGTCAAGGCAGTAGCTTCGTTCGGGTTTGTTTGACAATGAAAGATATATCCGATCTAAATTTTTATCTGAACAAGATTTCAAAAGTATCCGTTTACTGTGAGTTATCAGATTAGTTATGAAATTTCTCTGAAACCGAATTCCTTGAAAAAGCTTGGACCAGATTGCCAGACGAAACGTTAGGTTTACTTCAAATTCTTTCGCTAAGATTTTACAAATGCATTCTTCCTCGAATTCTGATCTATTTTATTATAAATCTATAATTGTTGTGAACAGGGAAACAAGAAGCCCTGACAAACTATGAAAGCTATTTTTCGGGACGTTATTTCATTTTATGCAAAGCTTGTAAAACACTAAATTTATTTTTGTCAGGAGGAGTTTGTGGAGATTTTAGAAATTTTCACAGATTGAAATCATGAGTCAGTTGAAGCTAGACCACCATTGAAAACCTGGGAGCACTGGACGGCCGTTTCGCCCTAGTATGGGACTCCTCAGCAGTGCGCATCCACGATCCCGCACCCCGCGGGATTCGAAGCCGGGACCTACTGGCTTCGCGCGCGGGCACTTAACCATTAGACCACTGAGCCGGCACCCAACGGTATTAATGTCTAACTTCAACCAATCCACGAAGTTGGATTTTTGTCCCTAATCTATTCTACAAAACATAGGCTTTCGTTCAATGCATGATTCATTGCCATATCCTTTTCTATTCCGAAGCTATTGTAATTTAAGCATAATATTTTGCACCCTATTTTCCACTCTAATTCCCAGCTTTGGACACAATTGTATTTTTCCTAATTATTGTACGTTGTGGTCGGGTTGGTCACCTATTTATTCATGTACCTTTTTACACTAATTTGAAATCAGAAGAAATTAGTATATCAGGACATCAGGAATAGATCGAGTAGTGTTCCAGTTGTCATGTCTTCTCTCATTCGCGTGCTTCTCAGCCAATCAGGTGATAGAATAGTTTTCTTCTCTCTACCCCATTTCGAACCTCAAGGTTAGGTCGGTCAGCCTATCGCGCCAAGGTCTTAATCTGGATTAAATAAGTAGCCTCAACACCAAAAGTGGGTAGACAGTCCAAGGACATAACAATAATTAAATGATTTTTTTCAAATAAAACTTGTTGAAATTTGTTGTGTTTAAAATAATTAAGATCTAAAGCGGACTACAGAAGAATGACATTTTTCTTCAAAAGTGAGGGTATAGAATGCATATATATTTTGTAGGATTATTTGCATCTAAAACAAATGTAAAACTAAGTTCTTGTCAAAATCAGGTGACTGACATAATTTTGAACAGTACCATTAATTTACAGCTAACTACATACTAATACGTCTCTTACCTGTCCAGCAGTGTATGGATTATTAATCTTTACTATCAAGCTTTAAAGTTGGTTAAGTAATGGTCAGATGATCAATTTATTTTACCTAAATTATATTTTGATATATTTTAGCCTGAAATGTTACCCAACTTAATGATTTTCATATTCAGACATATGCATTTTTTTTACTCTTTTAAGTATTGTAACATAAATCTATTCAACTATATCGAGTTTTATCAAGTCATAAACTTTAGTCTAAATTACTTTTTTATGAGTAGTATATTGGATAATAAAAATCTAATTAATATATCGTATAACCGGTGACATTCATCAAGTTTAAACTGCATTTTCAGTGAGTTGATATCTAACCGTAATTCTAAGGTTATTAATCTTATAATAACTTGAAAATTTTGCAACTTGATAAGTGCTTAAAGAATATCGTGTACTAGCTAGGAAAACCAAGTAAGTACAAGTTTCTTCTTCAATATTCTCATATAAATAATTATCAATACACTCAGTGAGGTTACATTTTCGATCTGATGTCAAACAACTTTGAGATTATAAATAAAGGAAATTTTATAAAAGGAAATTTCACTGTTAATTAATTTTGAAGGAGCTCTTTATGAATTAACAAAGGAAACTTTCTGGCCACTAAATGGATTATTTAGACGTACCAGATGATTGGTCTTTATGTTCTATTAATGTAATTTACTGACTGATATAGTTTAATTTATACACAATGAAACCTTATTTTCGAAATGTAATGTAGATTAACAAATTTGATTTGAAATAAATTTACAGTTACTGTATTATGCTAACGCTTCCAAAATTCTCCAATAAGCAGACTATAATTTCATTCCATGTTAAGTAACTCCCTTGACACAGTGTTTGATTTCTGACATTGAAAATTTAGACTAGTTCAAGATATCAAAGTATTGGACGAAGACATGAAGGCGAAAACCAGTTTATTATTTAGACGAAATTACACAGTGACTATGCAGAATATGAAAATCATACAATTAATACATTATTTGCATATCTTTCCTGAGTTGTTCTTTAACTACTCCATCATCCGTTAAATCTTGTCGTTATTCTGGTTGCTTTCTGTTTTCCTTCCTCTTTTATTTATTTCTATCTTTTGTTTGGTAAGCACTCCACCTCCGATTCCTGCCACATACTACTTATGCCTGTACCCATGAGTAGCATACACCACATCAGTACTTTGATGGAGTTCCATTAAAATGCCAACCTCTAGATAGGTGATTTCAAATAAAAGGAATTTCATTACAACTTCAGTCAATGCGTTTTTTGGTGATAAGTATCAATCAGTCTCATAGACGAGTACAGACTTTGATTATCTTGTAGAAGTTAACTTGGGAAATATTTACCTTTTAACCGCCAAAGGGATGTTTTATTTTTACTTGATACCTACAATAAGTCAGATCCACTGTTTCGTAATATTTTGCCTATCTTTTTTAAAGGTACTTCCTTTTAGCTCCTTTGGAGAAAAAGATTGATCAGACTGGAAAGGATGCACAATTTTTTAAACAACTAAATCCATATATCGAAAAAATATGGCAATCATCTCAGTCAACCAAACAAACTAGCTTACTAGAAGAAAGTCTGGTAGAACTAGATAATGACCCTTCACATGAACAGCAGCCTGGGTGTGATAACGCTTTATGGAGTAGGTTGTGTGCAGCAAGACGCCGGAAGATTAATAAAGAGTTGGAAATTAAATTTGCCACTCAGAAGCTAGATGACATTACAAATTTTATTCGTGTAAGCTTGAGTTTCTGCGTAATCCAGTGCTCTATGGTGTTTTATGTACTAATGAATATGAATATCACTTCCATATGATCCATTTGTAAATTAGCTGGTCAATCTGTTTGCTAATTTTAGCAAGCTTCCTTAACTTTCAATTTGTCCTTCTGTTAGAAATTTTATTCAGGACACAAAAGATATAAATGCTTTTATAATTTGGTCAACGTATATGTATTCTGTATTTGCATGTTTCGAAATGTGTAAAAACTGTTCTACAAAATATCATTAATCAATTGAACTAGAAACCGAATTTCGCAGATTCTTTTAGTCAGAGATATTTATTAGAGTTTCTTTGTGTTATTTGCATGAACGAAACAATAAGACGGAAATCCATCTCAGCTTTTCCGTCTGTTTGTAATCTTTTTTAATATTTGCAAAGATTTCCTGACAACTATGATAAGACCCAAAATCAGTTTTATTTTACAGAAATTCTTTTTCATTGTATAGTGTATCATTTTAAAGCGTGATACAACTTTGTCAAGGTTTGTAATTTTTTTTGCTAGTATATATGATGATCACTAGTTCGCAAATATAACAGAGAATAACCTCAACATAGATTTCCTACTTGATGATCAACTGTATCATGTTAATAGGATCACGTAGCTGAAATAACACTGTTCCTCTAGGTAAACACATATTCGAAGTAAACAATTGACCTGATGATGACATTGTGGAGATTAATTCGGAATGAATTCGACTGATATTCTTTGATAATACTAACAATCGTCTTCATGCAATTTTGAAGTGTTTTCGGCTCATTTTGATAACATTCTGTAATTAAACTTCCTCAATGCAAGATTTGATTTAATCACTGCACTATATAAGAAGGTTCCTTGTGCGTTATGTTGAGTGAACTTAAATTTGATACAGGAAGCTGTTCAGTCGCATTTTCATCAGTTTTATGCTCATGATGAATGTCATTTTGAACGTTAGTTAATTTAAGAGAATATAACTTTGAGTAATCAACAAGTTTCAAGTACAACTTGACTGCTACTAAACATATTTAGTATTAATTTTCATTGTGATTCTCATTTTTCTTTAATGACTATATTTATTTAAACTATATGATACTCATATGAGAATTCATCTATTTGATTAGCTAAGGTCAACTATTCACCAGTCGTGGTTTAAAAATTGGAATAATTAACTAATTGTTCTCGTCGCAGACTGACAACTGCCAAATGGCTAATTAAAACTATATGATACTGACTAGTTGTCCATTCACAGTTTTCGATTCAATAAAATCTTTCTTATAACGACTGTAAAGTTTTCTAGCATTGTGTGAATCAATTTATAGTTTGTTCTCCATTCACCCACTTAAGTTACTGCACTTTTGGATTTGTCATTTGGATGTTCCTACCAACAAAGACTGATCAAGATTCGGTCAATACAACCAATAACAAGATAGTTCAAACCATTCTAATAATGATATAAATTTCATACCCGTTTACCAAGTTAGTGACTATCTAAATTCAGCAGATCAGGGAATAACACTGGGCGTTTGAAAGAAAGTCATTGAGTTCAATTGCCAGTGTAAAGATCAATTATATTCGGCTTACGATTCATGCATAGAATTAAATTCACAACCGATATATTACCAGTAGACTCAATCCATCTATTCTAAAAGTCTTGTAACATAATGGTTTTATCGAAGCAACCCTCATATAACTCACGGGTACCAAAAAAGATCAATTGAAAGTCAGTCAAGAATTTTAACAAAGGGATTGTTAAAACCCTTCTTAATAGTAATATAGGTACAAATCATTTAACATTAAAGGCTGTCATTTAATTGTATGCTAAATTTTGTAACGAATTAAATAGCTTGATCTTTGTATACAACAAAAGTATTATAATTAACTTAATTCAATCATCTGTCATCTGTAATTACCAGTAAGCTTTTTTAATCACAAATTCAAATTAGCGGTTAACAAATACATTTCTTGCACAATAAATAACTTTCACATAGGTTAAAGTTTATTTTAATGAACTAATACTTTCCTATCTTTCAATCTCATATGTATTAATCTTCTGTATTCGATTTATATTTTAGAAACGTGATCGTGATTTACAATCATTACATAAATTGTTAGAAGAAAGAAAATGTCAATTAGATAGTTTAATAAAAGATTATAATCGAAATCAGACAAATTTAGAATTACAATTGTTAATAAAACAAGGATTTGTTGAAGTTAATATTAACCAATTCACATTACTCCATGATTATGATGATGCATTATTAATACAAAGAGAGCAAGTTGAAGAATTGAATAAACAGATAATTGTATTAGGAGAATCAAAAGTATCACATATGATAAGAAATAAAGAATTTAAAAAAAGATTTTATCACCTTGAATGGTAAGTACAGATCTTTCAATTTTCGATAATTCAATTAAATGACCAAGTTTGTCAAAACAACTTCATTAGAGAAGTATACTTGGAATATTTTAATTACTTATCAACTTACTAAGATATTTATATAAGAAATAGAGGTCAAACTGAACAAATTAGAATATAAGAAAAACAAAGATAATAGGAAAAAACAATATGAATCACACTAATCTGAATATTGAAATAAATCATTATTTCTAGAGTAGGTTCTGTGTAGTACAAAATGTTTTTGAACGAACAGAGCAGAGTATTTATGGGTTTACGTTAAAAAAAATTTGTGGGTTTCTTCCTTTGACCTTTACAGTTAATTCTTAGGGTATGACCATGAACATTGAAAAAGGAGTTATTAGTTGAAGTGTAATCGAAATATACGCTCGATATATCTAAATATACATATATTTTTCTTTCATACATATAGAAAGACAACATCCTGAGGGAAACGATAAACATTTAAACAACAGTAGTTTAAATTTATAATGTACACCCAACCCCTCAATTAATGAACAATTTTCTGCACCTTTCCCCTTTCTGTTCCCCAAAAATGATACATTCGACCACTAAAGTTTTAAGATGAAGACTATAGCCAATAATTTACTCAATGATTGCCAATTTAATAACAATGAGCTTTAGCAATCCCAATATCCGGAGTTTGGATTCAAGTTCCATAAAACATATCTTTCATCTATTTACAAATATTATGAGCTAAAGTTGTAGAAAATAGAACTGTGAATCTGATTTGAAACGGTTACTGTTATGGATAAGTTTTAGCGTTAATACTAATTCAACTCATAATATAACTGTTTATTTCATATTGGAATTAAAAAGTGACTAAAGATAATGATTATATATATTACAGATATTGACATGCTTATAAATACAAGGGCGATTAAACATGAATATGTATACCATGATGTAGCGAAGATTCTAATGAAGTTAATAAGGTCATAGAAAATTTTGTTTCGTATAAATAAAGTTTAGGAAGGAAAGTTCCAGAACATTGAACTAGTGATTAGAACTCATGGAGTTAACAAACATTAGGTGATTGTGTAACGAAGCAACTGAAAACAGATTAATGCTAATGAAGTTATGAATTGAAATCAATCAGTTAATTCCATGAGTTCTAATCATTATTTCAGTGTCTTGAACTTTCCTCCCTAAACTTTATTTATTTGTCCGAAACAAACAATTTTTATGACCTTATTAACTCTATTGAAATCTCCGCTACATCATGGTATACATATTCATCTTTAATCGCCCTCGTATGTACAAGTATGTCAATATATGTAATAACTTTGATTTTAAATAACATAGGTTGTAAGCAGCTGATGAGAACCTAACGAAATTCATATTATTCTGCACCAATCTTCGTTCTTGCTCTCTTTAAGATAATAAAGAGAATTATATGTATATAATAATTATCAGATGGATTATATTTGTTGCAGTTTTGTTATAAATAATTATGGAATACTCACGAGAATTGCATTCATTAGATATTTCTTTTCACTTTTTTCGCATCTAGCATATATTTTGTTAATAATTAACTGACGATTTGGTGAGACTATAATTTATGGATGACCTTTGAGCGACGCTAAAGTAACCTTGAGAGTGTCCTCCTAATAACTAATACCAAATGAGGGTTACAAATTAGTGTGAGGAATTCGAATGATGATTTACAGTTGATGGTTAAGGTTAGGAATTAGACTTAGGGTTTTCATCACGAACTGATATCAGTTATAATGCCAAAACTCTATTTAGCCAATTGGATGGGTGAATTTCGCGCTAAAATCCGAGACCTGTTATCTTATACCTGATTGGTTCATCCATAAACTATAGTCTCGCCGACAATTTTCCTTGAACAGTGCACAGTTGAATGACTCTATAAAAAATGTTGTATCGAATATTCTCATCATATAAATTTATTATGGAATACATTTTTACACTTTAGAGATTTAAAATTTAATAGTTGAATTCATGAATCGATTGAAGCTAAACCACCTTATAAAACCTAGAGGCACTGGTGGAATTCAACCGTGTCTGTTGTGACGCAGTAACTTACTGAAAACAATGGTAGACAGTGGCGCAATTCCGTGGATTGGTTGAAGTTAGACATTAACACCATTGGATTCCGGCTCAGTGGTCTAAAGTTTAAGCGTTCGCGCGCGAGACCGGAGGTCCTGGGTTAGTATCCCGCGAGCGGGCTCATGGATGCGCACTGCTGAGCAGTTCCATACTAAGACGAAACGACCGTTCAGTGCTTCAAGGTTTCACAAGGTGGTCTCGCTTTAATTGATTCATAAATTCAACTATTAAATTACTACAATCTTCACAAAACCCTTTTCAAATCTAAAATTCTTTGAAAATTGTTATTCAGTAATTCTAAGTTCTACACAAACGTTTGATTTAACGTTTTAATGCATACCATGAAATTTATAGCAAAGTGTTAATGCTGATTCAATGGATTTGACTGAAAATAAGTTATAATTCGAAGTAACCATTATCTTTTTATTATTTCAAACTGCTTTACAATATGTTTTTTGTAAGATTGATGAAAATACGTATATATTGTCTTTGATGAAATGGAAGGATAGAGTTTATCTGAACTTTCTGACAATATTGAACCATTCAGTCTATTTATTTTGTATGTTATTTCCTTTAAATTAAACATTTGATATAAAACATGTAATTATCATTCTTACTGAGTTTTTATTCACTTTCATATCACTGCAATCTCATACATAATATGTGTATACGTAAAGGGAACTAAGTGAAATGTTAATGCGTTATGAAGATTTACAAACCAAGTTAGGCGATATACGAAGATTTAAAATAACCAGCGAAATACGAAAAGTAAGTTAAACTGATTTACTTACATAATACAAATAATTCTCATTTTTAGTATCTTCAATCAAATGATTATGATTCTTTAATCAGTACACAAATTACAAATACTGAACGTACCATTCAAATGTTACAAGAAGTAAGAATCCTTGTTTTCTCTTGTGTATTTAATATTATCCTGGTATTTCTTATATTTTTATGGCTTATAATCAAAGATTCACAATTAAATCCAAAATTACTTTAAAGATGTTTACTGCTAGAAATTTCATATATCCACTATTATATTTATTTATAGTGGCATTTTTATCGTTGTCAACTAATGATCTGAACTATTTATAAAATAACATAAATTAAGAAATCAATGAAGCAGAAGTTAGCAATCAACCGTTAATGGTGACATAACTGAACGAATTGAAATTCTGCAGTTCTGAAGATCTGTTCAGTATTAAGCTCATATTTTTACGTCGATGCATGGAAATTAGAAATATTACTCTTTAATAATTATTATATTCCCTTTTGTCTTCATGTTCCAGGAATATGAAAAGAAAAGCTCTTTTAAAATTATTTTTAATCAATAATCATTTCAAAAAGTAACCATACAGGGAATAACTAACATGCTGTAAAGCTAAACACAATTATCCCAGTCAGGTTATATATCTCTGTGAAGCTAAATACAAATATCAGACAAAATAAAATGAACATAAGTCACTGTGACCATGAGATGATACAAATTAATGTGTTTTTTTTAAAACATTTTTACTTGTCTGTTCACCGTTAAAAAACTATCAATCTATAAATGCTTAAACTTTTAACGCATATACAGTTCATATACTTCCTATTATTGTAGCCTCACTTATGATTTTTATTTTACTATATATTTAATGATGTGTCGATAATAAGTGTAACGTTCGTATGCTTACTTATATTCTGAAGTTCTTTCAACAAAACCATTTTCCACTTTTCATACGTTATTACCGTCTCCAAGTTTTCACTTTCACAGATAATCATCATGGTTATGGAATATTCGCCATTAGATGTTTTAAATAAGTTAACAGAAATGACATTACCATTCTATTATTCGATAGAATGCTAAATATATTAGATACATATACATACGATTGTTTAGTCTCAGGAAACGATATTATCGAAAACAAAGTTCCTAGTTCAATTATCGTTGATTTTTTCGCAACTGAAATCCTTAAATAAAAGGTTCAAGCTTGTTAAGATTAATCATAGAGAACTACCGTTACATTTAGGAAAACGCATTCTCCTCTTGGAACTCAAATAGTTCTCTTTAAAAATTCGACTAGAAACTTCTATCGTCGTTTCACTTGGACCACAGCGGAAACCGATCACGAATTTCATACAGAAACATTACCTTACTAGGTCACCTGGTCTAGTAAATATTTTGTTTTTTATGATCGAATAAATGATCAGAAATTTGAATTCCTCTGTGACATTTACGATTCATATTATGAGTTCTGATTCTATGCAAACTTGCAAACCACAGAAGCACATACCATGGTACCGCCAAAATTCTTTATATTTTGTATAATAGTTGTTTAAAGATGGCTAGTTGTATTACTGTTCAATGTTCATGAAATAAAAATAATGATTTCATAATCAATACTATTTATTAGAATCACGAAAAAACAATGGCTCAGAAACTTGCTCGTCTTCGCCAATATGAAATACATCAAGGCGAAAAACTTAAGAAAGAGAATGAAAAGGCCAAGAAAGAAATAGAAGAAATGAATGTTGTTTTACATGAAACGAAGTTCATTCATGAACAAAATCGTAAGTTATGATAATAATTCTTTATAATATATGAAACTATATTAAATTTGCTTCATGCAAATATAAAAGGTGTATAATCAAATTAGTAATTATCCTAGAAATCGTGGGATTATAGTTACAACAAAATTTATCTTTCTAGTTTACAGTTACGAGAACAAAATAATATGGATCACAGGCTAAGAAGAATATTAGTTTTCAAGGAACATGGTAGGGGAAAAAAGAGGGATCAGAAATAGTATAATGATTAAACTTTGGTACATATTTTGTCCTTTATAGCGAAGTCAATAAATGTGTATATTTATTTACAAATGACTGCCAGTATAACCATACTTATCATGATTCATGATTTATAAGTATTTAAATCAGGAAACAGATCCCATGTGCTGACAAATAAAAAGTACCATAGCTTCGTTTCTACCGTTTTCATCAATAAAATATCGTGATAAATATGAATTTGATTTATCACGACTAACTAATTGTCTAATTCTTAAGGCTATCGCACATCGTATGACATTTTTAAGGGGAATATTTCGAATTTTATTTGGGGACATTATATAATGATGTTTATTTAATGAAACACAATCATTAACCCAGAAATTAAGTTTGTGCCATTTTTTCAACAATTATCACCCCCGAAAATATATCCAACTGGATATTGGCATGTATGATATTCTTAGGACTTTTGATTGCTAAATTCTAAAACAGTATTGATGATATTTACAGGTAAATGAAATAGGTTTTTTGAAAGATAAAAGTGCGAGTACAAAAAATGTGTTATTTAATAATTTCATCTGGCCTAACCGAAATAGTTAGTAATGTCTGTTTGGTTTACATGACTGACATACCATAAATCGATTAGAAATTTAAAAAAGTCACTTCCTCTAATAAACTTGGTCGATGTAATAAGAAGACAAAGATTATAAGAAGTATGTGCAAGACATCGAACATTCTGATTATACATCTAGTTGTCAAGATCATTTATATGTGAGGAATTAAAAAGTTAACTAGACAAGTGAAAGGTAAGAGGAAATAGAGTTAGTAAAGAAAATAGTACTAAAAACAATGGGAAATAATAATTCCAGGGTAAGTTTAGGATGAGAACAAACTTTTTGAACACATAAAGGGTATTTAAATGTTTATATGGCCAAATCTTTAATAAACCTTCGTATGCGCCCTTCAGTACTTTTGTAACAAACCATTACAGCTAAGATCAATCTTATGACCTGTTTCAACTATGCGTAGTAACAAATTAACTGAAACAACGAACAATTGTGACCACTGGAGAAATAACACTGTTAATATATAAGAAATTTCACCTAAATTTAAAATCAAATGTAGTGACTGTAATGTCACATATGTAGGTGAAGCATCAAGACAACTGAATGTGTGAGTGAAGGAACACAAACTATGCTTAAACTACATTCCTAAATCCTCAGATGATGTAAGAAAACTCGACAACAAATCAGCGATAGCATTAGACTCAATAGAATCGGATTGTACAATTGATTTCAACGGTACAATAATCCTTCAAAAAGGTTTTAATTCTTATAAAGAAAGACTAACAGTTGAAGCTCTACACATGCGGGCAAATACAAATAGTATTAATCGTAGAGATGGAATACAACTAGTTGTCCCATGGCAACTAATAATTAGTAAGTAAACCTGAACTCCTTATTCCATTTTATCTGTCTCTTATTATCTGAATAACAACAATGACATTCAACGGTTCTAATCAATTATTTTGTTTAGTTATCCTCATTTTATGTATGTTGTGACATTTAATTCATATCATATATAAAAATTATATTTTTCTTAAAAATTCACCGATTAAATACAATATATGGTGAATGAAATTTCTTCTCACACCACTTACGTATACACACAATCTCTTCGTAACACTTCATTTTACCCCACATGTCTCTTACACACCAAAGCAAATATCTACTTTAAACATTGTTAACATTGATTAGATGACCTATTTAGTATATAGTTAACCAGAGAAACATGTACTTATTTATATTCGATAATTTTGATGTTTGATTATAATTCCTTGAAAAAGCTTGGATCACATTGTTAGGCGAAACGTTGGATTTACTTCAAATTCATTCACTGAGATTTTACAAATACATTCTTCCTCATTAATATAACATTGTTAATACTTAAAAATTATTTCTTTACATTTTGAGTGCATTACTTCATTCACATCTGTAAGTGTAATTACTCAATAATTTTGACAGGATCAACAATATCGTCTTCTAAGCGATAGCTCACATTTTTCACTATCACATGCTCCTTTCATGATGTTAATAGAACAATCTGTTTTTATATTCCTTAAAAAATTATTTATTAAATCAGTTCAATTCCACCTATTACCGTTTCTGTCAAGTTTTATTCGCTATGTATAGGTGTTAATGATACATAACTTAAATAAATCCAGAGAACTATTGTTATTAAAAGCAGTCAAAATGTTGATTATGTTGAACAAAAGTGTTACCTATCATTACATCGATCTCTGTTCCACCAGAGTCAACAGTTATCAGTAGGCTATCATTACATATTTGGTAACAGTAACCAACTTGAGCTTTGGTTAAATTTCTTGAAATTACTTGAAATAGTAACTAGTATAAACAAAATTTCTGCTCAATCACATTTCTGATCAAAAAATTGATGGCATAAGGTATTTTGAAAAAAAAACAAATGTCTGTAATATATATATATATATATATATATATATATATATATATATATTGTTTGATTAAAGTTTTTAGTTAATATAATTTATTCATGTGTTCATTTCATCCCCTAAAACAACTACAATTCATAACTATTTTAACTTAATGGTATTTAGCCAACAAGTTAATATCTCAAACATTAATGTCTCACATCAGCTCAGCGCCCAAATACTGTGAAACTATTCAATCAAATTTAGACAAAAGTTCTTATATTCACTTGGTGTTGTTCTACTTGTATCTTCTCGTTGTTATTTAGGACTGAAATTGATCAGTCTCTTATTGGTATGTGTGCATCCTGTAGGGTTGCCTCGATACAGTCTTAAGTGACATGCTTTTTGAGCATAGATGGATAGTAGCTAGTATTGGAATCCAGGACACGCGTTTCGTTTTATTTGAGACTCGTCAGCTGGATGTCCCTGTACCTTAGAGTTGATGTTCACTCTGGGACTCGAACCCAATATCGTTCGCTTTCAACACTATCGCGTTATCCACTTAGCTACTGAGTCCTGATAGCCACCTGCTTGTGCAATGGGATGGAGTTTAAATTCACTTGATGTTGTTTTACTTGTATCTCCCCATTGTTATTTGGGACTGCAATTGACCCATCTTTGTTCAAAAAGCTTTTGACTTTAAAGTTCTTATATATTTAATATTTCAAAGTTTATTGTTAATATTTACTTGATACATTCAATGTGTGAAAGTTTATTTTTTCTCCGCTAAAATACAGTATGACTTTTCATTTAATCTACAAACCATTTGTTGTTGTTTTTTACCGTTTCCTTTTTTATTTAGATATGAAAAGTGATCATCTCAATAATCCTCAACTTCGACATAAACTATTAATTCAACATCAAAATATTATTAAAAAAATTAAAGAACAAACTAAAGAATTAAAAATACTTCAAGCTGAATTAACTTATTTACGTCAACAAAAATCAAATTTAAAATTATAAGTATTTCATTATATATTACTTATATAATACAAATAGTATAGAATTCTTTTTTTTCTCTCTTTAAATTATTCCATTCTTTATCCGTTTCCATGTGACTCGATAATGATATTTGAAAAATGCAGTATAAGTTTTCTTTTTTTTTTTAGAAAAAACTATATATTTTACAGCCAGATACTATAAAGTTCATTGTTATAATATGATTATTTAGTACTATTTCACCGGTTTGAAAATATCAAATGATTTGTAAAATGTAATTATACTGGCTGAAATCATGAGTCAATTGAAGCTTGACCACTATGAAAAACCTGGAAGTGCTGAACGGTCGTTTCGTCCTAGTATGGAACTCCTCAGTAGTGCGCATCCACGATCCCGCACCCCGTGAGATTCAAACCCAGGACCTGTCAGTCTCGCGTGCGAAAGCGAGGAGTCCCATACTAGGACGAAACGGCCGTCCAGTGCTTCCAGGTTTTCCATGGTGGTCTAGCTTCAATCGACTCATGATTTCAATCAGTGAAATTTCTAAAATCTGCACAAAACCCTTTCTGATAAAAAGTAATTATACTCATAATTTCTGAACTTTTTTCCTATATAAGATTTATATTATGAACGTTTAATAAAATTCAGAAATTTTGATAGCTTAAGTCATAATTTTTTGGATTTGATCAAGTTGGTACATTGATTTAAGAAGGAATTGGATGTAGAGTTACATTGTTTAAAATCACGATAGTTTTCTACGGCACATAAACAAGAAGATAAGTGTAAGCAAAAGGGATGAACAAAATTTATAAGGAGTATATAAAGATATTATAACTAGATAATCTAAATTGAAATTGTTATCTTCAAAAAATAAGCTGGAACTAGTTTTTACCTTTTTTAAGACTTTTGGTTAGATAACAAATACATCCTGTCTAGATTATACTTAGATTAATACAGTGGTGTTGAGTGCTGTTAGAGGTATGAGGGCAGTTATCACATCCCGGTCGCCGACACCGTGGAAGGGTTCTTCTGGATGTACCTGAAAACAAAATTGGATTAAAGGTGGTCTTAGTGACCTGAGAGCGTAACCGCAGTGCCCAAGGGACAACTGCTTGAGGTTGGTCACACACAACCCTTTTGTGAGTAATTCTTGTGTTAGCTCCGTACTTGTTGAGACCTCACAGCTCGAGACGGATATCCATGGGATAAGGCGAGGTGTGTATTTTTAGGGTCGACCTTTTCTAACCTCACCCCTCCTTATGGGAAGGCAGCATCGCTGTTATGCTGGTTGTCTGAAGGAAACACATTGCCGCCGTCACACCTCTGCACAGTCAGCAGTACGATTTCACCCTCAGACCTTGGATTTGCTGCTTTTAGACTTACCGCTCTTCAACCGACGTGTCTGGCATGGTAGGACCTTGAGGAATGATTGTTCCAGCCAGTATAGCTCGATTAGTTCATCACGATAGGGAAGCCCGACCACCACGTCAATGTAGCAACAACGGTCGGGTTATACTTAGATTGCATTTGACTGTTTTAATAACAACCCTGTAAAATATATATCTGCTAATATTTCCTCACATGTAATTAGCTGTAGTATTTCCGACTTCCGTTTTTGTGATTCACATTCTGTAAGACAATTCCTAGTGCCTAATACTATGAGACACCTACATGGCTTATTCCAGCTTTCGTACAAACCAATTAATTTATTCTTCTCTAGTCATTATCCACACATGTTTTGACCATGTCAATTATTTGCTTATAACTTTAACTGTTTTTATGTGAAAATATGTGTGCGCATCGCTTACTTCATTTATTACATGCCTTCAGTTTATTCCTATCTGATTATAAATAAGGAGTTACGCTATATCGGGGGTGAGTTTTGTGAACCTGACTTTTCCGCTTCTCATTTTTAGTGTCTGTCTGAGTAAACGAAAGTCTGAAATAAACTCATTCAACTAAATCCATATTTGGCCGTCACGCAAACGGAGTCAGCCTAGGTGTAGTATACGGAACTGAACAATAGATTTCTATTCATGGAATATTCATTCGTTCGTTCGAATGAGTGTCAGATCTTCAGCCACCAAAGTGGTGAACCACACTAAACCGTTTGTTGATCAAAGTCGAGTATACTGAGCAACAGTTCACTCTGTCCTAGCTTAAGGGTGTGAAGCATAGCCAATAAGAATAAAAGACATTCTTAGGTACTCTTAGTATTCAATCACAAGTGTCAGGATCGCTAAGAAAAATGCAACGTGTTGATAGTCTTCAATATATTATCAATAATAATATCCAAAGGAATTTCCTCAGAATGTTGACTAGCACAAACAAGAAACCTAAGCTGTAAAACTCCTTTAGTTTATAGAATATAATCTCATTTGAAACAAAGCACTTGTTTCGAACAACAGAAAGATCCGTTTCTAAGAAACTTTCTGTACCAATTATCTGCAAGTATCATACAATGAGACTAGTTCATTGGTTTTTAATTAATTCAATAATCAGTACCACATTTATAAAATACTTTTACTGCATCACGTATATGTTTATTAGATATATGCCTCAAGCAACTTTTTGATTGCTTAAATTTAGTTTGTTTATTTAATATAAAACTTATTTAAGTTCGTGCTCAAATCAGAAAATTTGCACAGATTAATCATTGACATGTATTTTTTAAAACAAAACAGACAGCACTATATTGTTTTTAATCAATGATCCTTAAACTGTTTATTTTTCACAGATATTTCTTTGATTTGCCTGGAGACGTATTTTGAATTAAATCTAGTATATAGTCTTCAAATAACTTGTGAAACGTTATCTGTAATTTCTTGGGTAAATATTTCTGGAAATTGACCATATTAGACTAAAGGCATATATATTAACAAAGCACGAGTGTTGGTTGTTTTGAAGATTAATGGAATACAAGCTTTCTTTAAAAAAATCTAGAGATGTCATCATCACTGTAAAAACTGTTTCGAACGTGGAATCAGCTAGAAGTTATTTTATTTATTTATTATTCATTTGAACACATAAATATTGGCACAAAGGGACACTAAATACATATGCGCCACACAATAACAGTGAGAATGTGAAGAGATAGAAAATGTAAGGTGCGTATAAGAAAAAAGGGAACAATAACAAGCAGAAATCAGTGTTTGATAGTGAAATAATAATAATTGGAAAAACAGTCCAGTTAGAAAAGGTACAACCAGAAAGAATTCTGCCAGTTAAAGGAGTTACGTCCATTTTTTATGAAGAGAGTAAAATAAAGTTACAACAGGATTTCCGCTGGCTTCTATTCTGAGCCATGTCTGATAACGTCTCTAGCCACTGTAATGCATAGTCTCTAGAACCCCAACCAGGGAGTCGTGAAGGACCAATAGAAGCCAGTCTTATACAGCTTTCTCTCATACCACGATACCATGTCATACACTGACCACCTCTCCGCTTTTTCCAACCAGTCCCGGCGTCGGCAAATAATGCACGGTGTGGGATGACATTCGTAGTACATGTCCAAACCACCAAAGTCTGTGTTTCAAGATAATGAAACTAATTGAATTCTCGTCGCTGTGCCCGAACACACGATGCCTAACATCTGCATTACTAACATGATGTTGCCACTGGATGTCAGTAACTCCTCGGAGTCAACGATGATCAAACACAGAGAGTCGTCTAACATCCTCAACTCGGAGAGGTCAAGTCTCACAAGCATAGAGCAAAACTGCTCTCACCGACGCGTTGTAAACCCGACCATTTAAAACCAGACTAACATCACGAAGGCGCCAAAGATGGCCCAGATTGGCTTAAGCCGCTCTGGTTTTCACTATACGTGAATCGATTTCATCACTCACACCACCACCAGCACTTATGCAGCTACCCAGATACACGAACTTCTCGGCTATTTCTATCTGCTCACCATCCAGGGTGAGTACAGGATTAGAATCCTGCCAGTCTTGTAGAAGTACATTGCACTTCGAAGGTGCAAAGCACATCCAATACCTACGGAAACTGATTGCCAACTGATTAAGTGTGGATTGCATGCCTTGGGCATTATCGCACAGTAAGACAATATCGTCCGCATACTCAAGGTCGAGAAGTCTTTCTTCAGGCAACAGATCCACACCACCATTACTTACATCCATCAGAGCTGTTTCCAGAATGTCATCGATGGCAAAGTTGAAGAGAAATGGTGAGATTGGGCAACCCTGCCTAACCCCACTGCTCGAACGGAACAATGGAGAGAAGTGGTTGTATGCCCTCACTCTACCTGAGGTGTTTGTATACGGGCCTTTAGGATGTTAATAAACTTCTCAGGCACACTCTTCTTCAAAGGACGATTCCAGAGAACAGTCCTGTCCAGCTAATTGAAGGCAGCCCTGATGTCAAAAAACAATACGATTGTTGGCCTGTGAAAGTATGACAGTGTTCTAACATTTGGCGAAGGATGAAGATATGATCAATACATCCTCTACCAGAACGAAAACCGACCTGCCTCTCGCGAGTCCATCTTTCTTGTGTTTTGATCAACCAACAAAGTATGACGGAAGCCAATAGTTTGGACGCAATCGGAAGTAGACTTATCCCCAGATATTTGTTACAGAAACGACGTGAACCATTTTAAAGATAGGAACAACTAACCACTCATTCCATGATGCTGAACCAATCTCGAACTGCTAGAACTTTGTAAACATTTCATTCAGTTCCTTAACCAGGTCGCCGCCATCTTCAAAAGGGGACGGAGGTAATTTGTTGCGCTTCAAGAGCTGGAGTCCCCTGTGGACCTTCGCCTCATTTGATGGATCAGTCGTCACAGGCCATGGAGGGCAGGACAGTCTGATCGATGTTACCGGGGCAGTAGACCAGTTGAATAGCTCCTCGGAAAACTCTACCTATCATTCAAGACGTTGATAGGTGTCATTGATTGTGTAATGATTCGTTAAGCCTGAAGGCTACTGCTCATTCGTCTTACTCCAACGGAACGAAGGGTCAATGATTCAGAGACTCGATAGCCATTGTGGTTCGTTGTC